CTTGCACCATAGGGATATAACATAGGCCAGTAGAATCGCAGTCAGTCCGTAGAGCATGAAGACAAGAAAGATGTAGCCGATGTGGTACCAGATGCCGGACGAAACAGCCCAGATTATCGTAACCAAAGCTGTTGACGCGAGAACGATGATGAAGTCGAACGCCAAGTAGGCCGCCCACAAGGGCAGAACCCGAACTCCATTGCTGTACTGTAAGGCACGAACCTGTCGTCGACGCTCCAGACTTGGGTACAGGGCGAAGAAGCCAGGATAGCATGCAAGTGCGATTCCGGTGTATACGAGGAATTGTAGCGAGTTGCCATCGTTGGGCTGCCAAGGCGTAGCGAAGGGGGCCCATGCCATCATGACAGTGACATTGCTGAGGAGCATATTCAAGATGTTTTGGCTCAAAATGGGGTTCAGTAAACCGTTGTAGTTCGACATGTATGCAATGGTGGGCACCGTGGAGTCGTCTCCTAACCAGATACCGCCAGGAACGGTCTCGACCCGCCGTGCAACCACAGTGTCTTGGAAGGCTTTGAAGCTGTCAGTGAATGTGGCGTTCTCGGCGAGTAGTTGCCTTGCGAAGTCGGTTCCAGTCCCAGAGGTCGATCCGTTGCCGGAGCTGCCGGCAGCAGCGTTGAATACTGGCAAAAGAACGCTGGCAGCAGTGTTGAGGTCAAATCGTGAACTGGGCCCAAGGACTAGTTTCCATGTAAAATCTGTCAGACTGAACCCTTGCGTCTGATCAAGCGAGCGCTCTTCAGATGGAGCGCAGCCACTTTGTGTTTGGCCTTTGATAAACAGGGTGACGAGGCCAGCGGCTGCAACGGGTAAGACAAATGCTGCAAGGTAGGGAATCCAATTTGTCTTCAAGATTGTCGTTCGTTTCCGGAAAAGTATAGCAGCCTGCCGCATGTATCCAATTTGCTGACCGCTAAGGAGTTGAAGTCCAGCTTGAGGAGTAGCGCCAACGTCGCCAGCTAACCCCTTCTCGTTCAAGTCTGACCCTGAATCAGGAACAATCTCGCTCGCCTTGGAATCGTGGATTTCCTCCGCTAATTGAAGAAATACGTCCTCGATGGTGGGCCCGGAGAAACGGTAGTCGTGGAAGTTGTTGGCTTCCAAAGTGCGAATCACCTGCGCAGCAAGTGAAGAAGATGGGGCGATATAGCTTATCAGGTCGAAGTGTATCTTCTTCTGAACTCCTTCGATGTCAGGTGTATTGCCCATACCAGTCTCCTTGGTCACGTGGACTCGGTAACCGCCACCCAGGCGATCTTTCAACTCAACCGAAGAGCCATCGGCACGTAGCGTGCCCTTGGAGAGAATAGCGATGTGGTCGGCCAGGAGATCAGCCTCGTCGAGAAAGTGTGTTGTGAGGATTATCGTCCGCCTTCCGCGCTCAGCTAGTAGAATATCCCAAATCTTGCGTCGCGACAGAGGGTCGATGCCACTCGAGACCTCATCGACACAGCAAACCGCGCTTCCTCCTGTAAGCATCATGCCCAATTGCAGCTTGCGCTTCTGACCGCCTGAAAGGGATTTCGACACAGCTTTTGCCTTCGTCTCCAAATCAACAGACCGGATTAGGTCTTGAATTTCCTGCTTGCTTGCACCTCTCCCAGGGGACTTGAGCCTGTTGAATATCTCAATGTGTTGCTCCACGGTCAGGTCATCCCACATGACATTCTTCTGCGGGGCAATTCCCAGTCCACCGGTACCGTCAATGGTGATGGTGCCGCTTGTAAGTTTGCTTGTGCCAGCAATAGAGTCCAAGGTTGTGGACTTTCCGCTACCGTTCGCACCAAGCAAGCAGAGGATTTGTCCTCTCCGGACATCCAACGTCAGGCCGTCGACTGCGCGAACGGGCTCGCGTGGCTTTGAGATGAAGGAGAACAAGCGTCGGATCGGAGAAGAGCTATAAACCTTAGTGAAGCCTTGCAAGCGCACAGCCGGCTCATCGGTGCTGGAATGAGCTTGAGCACGGTTGAAAACAATTGTTCTGCCTCTGGTAGTAGTGCCGTGTAAGGAGGACTCGATGACAGCGCCGAGTAAAGGGTACACAAAAATCTGGATAATCAAGAAAACCCAGAGAATGATGCCGGAAATATCCCACGGGCTCTTGGGAGCGACCTTGGATAGGTCGGCTGGGAGGTCTTCTCGCTCCCAACGTGCCATCCAAGTAATGAAGTACACGTAGTTGCATGGCGTGAAGAGAAAGGCGAGAACACCAACGGCAGCGGTGCTGGGGTAGCTAATGGACTGTGCGAGGATTCCAAGGAGAATGATAGCGAGTACGGCCGCGATGCCACTGATCTGAGCCTTCTTGAAGAGTGAAGATGCCAGGATAGAGAGGGACGCCATGGCGATGCCGTTCAAGACATGATATACAAGCACGATACCAACGTTGGTACGAGCAAAGACGCCGGCACGTAGCACCAATGATCCTATAATCCAGCCCGGAAGGTAAACGACGGTGAAAGCGGCGTGGTAGGAGATGATTCGGGCAGCCTGGCTGAACCATCTGTGCTTGACGGGCATCATAGCATCCACGAGGCGGATCATGCCACTCTCGCGCTCGGTCGCAATGAAGCCCGTAAGGTGATAGGTGATGAAGAGAACGCTGGTCATGAAAGCAACACCCATCCAGTTCGTAATGGCACTTTGATAATTGATCCTGACGCGGACGGCACGCTCTTCTTGGGTCAGGCTGGTGAAGGGATATTCGTCGACGGTGCTGGGGAGAGGGCCTTGCTGGACAGAAGTTGAGGCAGGACCGGAAGCGGCCTGGACGGAAGCAATTGCCTCATCGACGGCTCTCTGCAGTGGCAGCAGGTAGATCTGGGCATCATTTTTGTCCGAGTCGACGTCAATGACGATGCTTCGCAAGGCCCCGTCGCTGCGAAGGGTGTAGTTCCAGTGGTCTCCGGGTCCTTCTGAAGGCGATGACTGGAAGACAACGGCTCCGTAGCAATTGGAGACGCCGCGAAGGTTGGTAGGACAATCGAGCGAAAGCTCGGTTGTGGACGTGCGGCGGAGCGTAGTCTTGCCAGCACTTTCGACAGAAGCGGCGAGTTTATCAATGACCTTGTCGATGTCACCTCCGGAAAAGCCTCCATTCACAAATACGACTTTGTGTCTCCCAGCGCTGGCGGCAGCATCGAGAGCGTTTGGGAGAGTGCGAATATGCCTCGGATCAGAAACACCATATACAGCGGGAGGAACAAAGAGATTCTTTGCAAAGCTGAAGAAGGTGGTCAGAGCTATGGGAAGAATAAAGGCGATGAAGATGGCGGAGATGGCGTGGCGGAATATGATTTTCCAGTTCTTCAGTGTGAGTGTCCAAGTCTGGCGTAGGAACGCCATGTTTGGCGAGCGTCGGCCGATGGCCGTGTTCTACTTTCTGTTGCCTGCCAGTATCGTCCGGAGGTTGGTATTGAGGGAGGAGGCCCAAGTCGACGATGAAGGCGACGAGGTCAGCTGATAGAAGGAAAGCAGGCTTGCAATACGGAATGTGCACGATGTTGAGGATGTTGCTGAAAATTAGTCAAGTCCAGGGTGCCTGGACATGGGAGAAGGAAGAGAATCGGAGTCAAATCGACGGGGAAAGAAAAACAAATGGCGATGCCGCTTTGTAATGAAAGTGGTCCTTTGAGGATTGAGACTGGGCGCAGACTCTTGGTCGGTAGAAGGAATAGGTAATCAACGACTCGATGCTCCTTGGTCACTACAGAGTCGGAGTAAGACGAATTGAAGGTTCCTGACTAGGTCCAAAACTTCTTTTCCAGACACCTTTCGATGAACGTCGGAACGTCTCGAAGTGTGCGCAGACTCGGGATGAACGCGCCGGACGCCACCCGGACAGGAAAGAAAGGCGTTTACTGAAGTCCGTACGGCCCACGCCTGCGCCTGCAAGGTAACCTAATGTACGTTACAACTTACGGGATGACAGGGGCGCGCGGCCTCCACAGCTCGCTTAACGCCTGGAGATTGAACGTGGAAGCAGCAGCCACCCAGCCAACAGCATGGAAGCTCCCCTGGGCCCGGGCAAACGTTGATTTGCGTTTCGGGCGCTGCCTTCTCCACCCAACCTAAAATGATAGGCCACGCTGCCCACCGTGCACTTTCCCGTATAATCGTCGTCGTCACTACCTCCAAAAAGCTCAACCCCTAAGAATCACCAAGGAACCTTGGCACATGCTTACCCGAAATAGGTTACTTTACGGAAACTATTGTCGTAAATTCTACTATGTATTCGTATAAGGTATCTAGGTAGCTTGGTCAGATCGGGAGAATTGGTCGAGTTGAACACGATAGATCTCGTACGATGCTGGCGGAACACGGCACTCGGACTGGCATCGATTTCAAAACAGCATTCAATTTCAGAATACTTAACATCCCAAAGGCAAAAGATGAAGCTGGACAGACTACACATCTGGGCAAGGGCAGAGAAATCCGCCATCGGCTTGGCGCCATGCCAGACACAAAAGTGCTCGTTCGACATTCGTAGTCATACACGCAAGGCTTGGACGGGATTCGTGCAATCCCGATGCCGAACAGTTCGTTGCCCGACTATTATGCAGCAGACTGAAGTGACGATGTCTTCCACCAAGGCCCACGAGTGAGAAATGCTACTAATGTCCCACATAATAACGGCCTTTGGCACAGAAGTCTATACCGTAGGACATTATAGTTAGCCGGCGGCATAATCCAAAGCATTCGGTCTCTAGTTGGTTGTGATATAGGCAGACTGTAAGTGTTAGGTATTCGATACCACATAAATGTGTTTTCAAGAGCCTCACTCGTAAAACTCTTTGATTTCGACGAGAAGCCGTGGCACTTGCGCCCACGTATTCGCGGAGCCTCCAGGTTGCCGTCGTTCTTACGTTCCAGTACAGGCATGTTTTGGCACAGCCTCTTTGACCTTGGGCACGTTGTGGCACCACCAAACCGGACAGACACAGGTTAGGTTAGAAACATTGGCCAAGAAGCCCGAGGCTCTTGAAGTTGGCTGCCTTGAAATTCATCTTGACTTTTCTCTTTATCATTCTAGAATGAGATGGACGTCAGTCCTAGCCACTTGGCCGAAAAAATGGTTCGAAAACAAACAACCTATTGTTGATAATATCATCAGATGAGGTGATTTTATCTACAAAAACAATCCTGATGCCAAAAAGACCTCATCCCTCCTCATTCCTCCGACTCCCCAAACCCCTTCCCATAACTTACCAAAATTTCCTCCCCCTTCCCAATACCCCCCTTCCCCCGTCCATTCTTGCCCTCGGGCAGCACCCATACAGCCATACACTTCTGCCTCCATCTCTGACACCAAACCTCCCGAAACTCCGCATTCGGCCTCTCCCCGACGCCCCGATAATCGTTGATGAACCTCGCCTCGTTCCCGCCCTTGTCCGCGTCCACCGCCACCTCTGCCTCCCGGTCCAGCCAGAGGTCGTAATCCGACTTCTCCGTCCCGGCTTCGGCTCCCAAGGCCCCGGCCCCAGGGTGGACCGTGCCTAGGTACGGCAGGACAAACGTTCCCGGCTTGAGGTGCCGCGTCGCAAAGAGCCCGCACTGGCCCTGGGCCGGGTGCCCCGTGTCCGTGATGGGCGTGATCTTGACCAGCGGGCTGGGGAGCACGGTGGCGTGCGCGGGGATGTCGGGCACGTCTGGTGGTTTCTGTGCGATGGCTTGCCGTTGTGCTTGGCTCAGGAGCTTGGAGTGCGCCGGCGCCGAAAGGTATGACAGACCCGAGGGCCAGTTTTTGGGCTGTGACATGGCGTGGCTACGTGCAGGATTTGTTGAACTGGGTGCTTGAGTTGAGGTACCCACGTATGCTGATACGAGCCCGGATGAGTCACAGGGAAGTGGAAAGTTGAGAACTTTTGATTTTGTGATATTGGACTGCAGGTGTTATTGAAACTTGATTGTGAGAGACAGAACTTCAGCAACAAGCGCCCAAACAGCTGGTGTGAATTAGGTTCCAAAGTGGGTTGAATTGAGTGGCTGGCTCACGAACCTACAGGTCTACTTTTCCATCCCACGACCTCACAATGTTACCAAGAGGCAAAAAAAAACACACATGTCACTTGGGCCATTCGAATTGGTAGAAACGATTATTTGGATGCTTGCGACAGTACAACGCCATTCAGGCAAAACATATAGATTTCTGGATACGCCAGAATGCAGCTACGCCTTACAACATACATGATACATTATTGCTTCCTTTCCCTCCCTCTGGGCAGTCGTGACGCCATGCCCAACTCCAGAAAGCAGTCTCCCTCCACACCCTAGCTTCTCTCTTTATCCTTTTTCTCCTATTGCCTATCTGGCTCCGGCCATCAATCCTTCATAGTAGGAAAGACCCAGTTGCAGTGAGTGCTTGAGGTGACCGTCCTCTGTGACTGGAAGACCTAATACACGAGGAACATCCTATGAAGGAATATTTGTTAGTATATTGTGTCAACGAGAAGTGGGCCTCGGACATTCTTACCTGGTCTTGTCTGGACGTCTCCACCATAACCTTCGCTACTGTTGAGCTCATCTCTGAGATGGCTGCCATACTCGTCACGTTGGCACTCTCTGCATGCTCACGCATGGCAGGAAGGCCCGCAACCAACTTCTCGAGGGTAGACAAGGAGACTTGTTGTCGCTGCCTGCGACGATCCACAAGCTCTAAGAAGGCCTTGTAGACCTCACCACCCAGAGTCCAGCCTGCAATGTCATTCTTGTGGTCTTCGAACCGGGCCAGAATAGAGCCCAGTTCGTTATAATCGCGGCTGATGACGGCAGAAGGCGCAACTTTGTGCACGAAAACCTCGTGAGCCTCGAAATATGAGCCGGCACGGAGGAGGCACTGCACTTCGGAAGCAGCATCTCTCTTCACCGCTCGCATGTAAAGGGCCTGGGCATCCCAAATCCAAGACGCTGGCACCTTCAAAGTATGAGCGAGCGTAGCGAAGCTACTTCCGTTTTCCGGACCCAAAAGAGCAGCATGGCGGCAAAGGTTATCCTGAACAGCCTTCGCCCTTCTGTCTTCCTGGCTGAGATGCAGCAGCACAAAGGTGGCCTCCAGCCAACTGCCCTCGTTGATGAGCTGATCGGCGAAAGAAATTGTCAGAGCGTCGGCCTTTTCCGTCGCGTCGCGGCCGTAAGCCACCTTGCCAGTAGAGAGGAGCGCGCGGCTCAGTTGCCAGCTAAGCCGGACGTCCAGTGGTGATAGCTGGCTGTTCTCTGGCCGCAAGACAGCCTCCAAATCGGTCTCGCTGTCCGCGTACAGCTTGAGCAAGCCCCACAGGAGGTCTTCCCGCAGGTCTTGGTCTTGGTCCTCCCAGAGTGCCGGAATGCCTTGCTCAACGTACCACGTCTGTGGACGCTGCTCCCTGTCCTGGGTCACGTCCTCCTTGAACACGCGGACCGCTGCAGAAAGGTCATCTTTTCGCGAGATTGAGTACCACAAGCGAAGACCAAATGCTTGCTTCCAATCCAGGCCAAATCGTTCGGATATGACAAATGACTCAATGCGGTCATGAAGGGGAACCTCTTTTTTCCCTTCACACACGCAAACGTTGCCGCTAAGAATCTCGTATATCGCTCGGACAGGGTCGGAGAACTCGGACAGGAAGTTGGCATCTTGCCACTCGCTGAGTTGCTCGCGCATGTCTTTCTTTGACTGGTCGTTGCTACCAATCAATGATACTAGCGTCGCAAGGTGGAAGTTCTTCCCGTCTAGCAAGTGCTTGCAGGCATCTTGGACACGGTGACCAGACAAGGCTGCAATGGCCTTCTCTTCGCTGGACTTTGCAAGAGCAACAGACCGTGATGATGCAGAGTCAACGAGCGTTGCCCAAAATTGGGACAGCATGCTTCTGCGAGACTCAGTGCTGGCGTCGCCGTCAAACAGAATACAAGCAAGATCCCAAACAAGCTTCTCGTTCGCATTCGCGGGGTTGCCTGAGTCCTGATCATGGAAAAGAGACTTGAGCGAACCAGGCTGCAACGACAGCTTCGGGACGTCACCGACGAGCTCAACGTTGGTCAGACGAATGTGGTTTTCGAGGGCTTTAGCAGAGTCCTGACATGTGTTAGTCGCTGTACCTCATGGCATGCCACTAGACGAGCTCACCTCATTGGAAAACTTGGCCGCCTGGATTTCTCGCCCTTCTGCTTGGATGACATTTTTCGTGATCATCAGGTTGCTGGCTTCGCCTTGCTTGCTGGCATCCTCAAGAGACGAACGGGTCGATGTGAACAGCAACGTTCCATCGGGTCCCCAGGTGGGCCTCATTGAACTGTGAAAGGCGTGGTCGGCATCACTCATATCGGACTGGTCAACGAATGACTTGGTTTGTCGCTCGTAGGGCCACTAGAAAGAAAGTTATTTTAGTCAACTGATCTCATCTTAAGTACAGGATAGTCAATCAGAGCCCGAAACCGTTTTGCCGAGTTTTGGCAACCCCTAGACCATGAAGTATTCACCAACCTGAACAAAGCCTCTCGTCTGCGCAGGCGCAGGCGGCGCCTTTGCCTTTTCAAACAGCGAGTTCATCAAGTCGATGCTTGTAGCGAATCCACGCCCATCTGACACAACTCGACCTCTCTGGCTTGCTGCATCGGCATCGTCGGCAGCTGGACGCAATGCTGTCTCGTTCACACTTCGCAAGAACGCCCGATCTCTCTTTTGAGGGCTGACAGACCGCTGAAGCATGTCCATCCACTCGTCTCCACCGGCAACCTGAAGCTTCATGGGAGTAGCCGAACCCTTCAGTGCCCGCATCCTTGCTCGAAGGATGCCTCCTGGTGTTTCGCTTGTTGGGGCAGTACCATCGCCTTCCGGCGAGTCGATTGGTTGCTCCGCGGCAAGATGGCGTCTGGCTGGAGTACCCACCATGTCCTCGTCCTCAGACGTGCCATATCCGTTGTCCTGATCGTCTGTCTCCTCTTCAGTCGACAGAATGAGCGCATTGGACGTCGAACCCGCGAAGCTATCCCCTAAAAAAGACTGGCGCTGGGAGGGGCGTTGAGCATCTTGAATGTCACCGAAGTCTTCATCACGGTGATCGAATGCGCCAGGAAGAGCGCGTCGCTTGTTTCTGCGGAAGTCAAAGGTGTCATCTTCCCTTGGGCTGGACTGCGAATCATAAGGGTCTTCCTGGGAAGCGTTGCTGAAAGAAACTTCCTCGTGGGGCTGCTGGACTGCAGACTGCTCAGGCTCATCGTCATCCTCATCATACTCCAAGCCGTAGGTGGTAAAATGTTCAACAGAGAACTTCCACACCCCAGTATCGGTGTTATAGCTTTCAAAGGTTGTGTCTTCGATGCGCTTCAGGCGCTCAATGTGCTTGTTGAAACGTTTGGCATCGTTGCTAGGGCGCTTGTCCCTACCACGTGGCCACGACTGTTCCAAAGAGATGAGAGCCGGAACATTCAGCCCCTTGCCGACCGGAGGCTTCTTGGCTGCAATGGGGTAGACAGTCGCAGATCGAGTTTCAAGAATGACGATTCCACCAAAGATCTCGTCCAGATCAATATTGGTAAGGTCGACGGGGACCTTGAAGCGAACACTGCCGACGTTGTCTCTGCCTACAGTGAAGTTTGTGACTTGTTGACGCTGCATTCTGTTCATGTTGGCGAGAGCTTCCTTGGTCGGGCTCATCCAGTAGGCACCGGGGGCGGCGTCGAGACCCTCCTTGTTGACTTCGGGTGCTTGGGAGGAAGTGTCTTCCTCATGGACGATAGCCAGCTCTTTACCCTTGCTGGGATCTGCCTCTGCGGTAGCGCTAGCGGGCTTGCTTCCGTTAACGTTGACACTGGCCGGGGTCGATTCCTGAGCGACGTTTCCGACTCTTGGCGTAGATCCCAAGACACTGTCGTTATCATCGACTTCGGGGGTGTCCATCGTGCTAGTATCGAAGCTGACCCTCTTCGACAGCTTGCGAGAGCCATTGACCAGATCAGTAGACGGCTTTTCCTTGGTGGGTGTAGAGAATAGGTCGCTGCGCATGTCCTTGTTGATGATCAGCTTCTTGACACTCCCGTTCTGACCGTAGTAGCGGGGTCCAGAGCTAGCAGAAAAAGCACCAGGTGCAAGGATGCTATCTTCAGCATTGAAGCTTCTCCGCAGGTTGCTGGTTGACACGCTCTTGCTCAAACTTCGGTTGAAGCTCGAGGAACCCAACAAGCTTCGGCTGGCACCGCCAGGGGTGCTCGCTGCGCTTGAAGGACTGCCTCCGGGTGTACCATAGGTGCTGTATGAAAACCCAAAGCCTCGCTTTTGGGGAGTGACGAAGCGAGCGGCTGACGCGGGGTTCAACTTGTACATGGGCAAGATCGAGCTACGTCTAGGCTTAGACTTGCTTGAAAGAGGTGTGGCAAGAGGTCCGGGATTGGGCGTCTCTGAGCCTCCCAGGTTGGAGAAGAGCGACGGCGAGCCGTAGGCAGAGACGTCATTGATGTTGGCCGTGAGAGACTGGGGGCCTTGGCTGACCCCTTGGGAATTGCCCAGCAGTGAACCACCGAACAAGGAGTTCTGCGGTTGCTGTTGCTGCTGGTTTACACCCCCGAACATGCCACCCTGCTGTTGATTGTTTTGTCCACCAAACATGCCGCTGCTAGCGGGTTGAGATGAGCCAAACAGGCCACCAGGCTTGGCCTGGTTTTGGGCTCCTCCAAATAGAGAAGTTTGTCCAGTCTGTTGCTGAGTCTGGTTGTTTTGGCCTAAGCCGCCGCCGAAGAGGCCACCACCTGCGTTGTTGGTCTGTCCTGCCGGGTTGGACCCAAACAAACCGCCGCCGGTAGCTGCCGGCTTCGCGCCAAAAAGACCTCCGCCAGTGTTCGTGTTGGTGTTCGTGGCACCAAATGAGGTGGAAGAAGTGTTTCCACCGCCGAAAAGTCCTCCACCTGTCGTCGCACCGCCGCCGCCTCCAAAGAGACCACCTCCTGTTGCGGGCTTCTGCTGGGTGTTTCCGAATAGTCCACCGCCACCCGTTTGCTGGTTTTGCTGACCGAATCCTCCACCAAATGCTGAGCCGGTGTTTTGCTGCTGAGGCTGTGCTTGATTGTTGCCAAAGAGGCCACCACCTGCAGCTTGTCCGGTGTTGCTTCCAAATAGCCCGCCCGTAGTGCTGGCGTTGCCAGCGGTGTTGTTGTTCGCACCGAAGCCGGTGCTCGCGGTGTTCCCAAAGCCACCAGTAGTCGCTCCAGTGTTTCCGAAGCTGAAGCCTGACGGCTTGTTTTGAGTTGCGGTGTTGTTGTTCGAGCCGAAAAGACCGCCCCCAGTGTTGTTATTAGTGGCCCCGAACCCACCAGTGGTACCCGTGGCGCCGAAACCTCCAGTAGAACCACCGCCAAAGAGACCGCCAGACTGAGCAGGCGCCGCTGTGGTCGCCGTTCCGCTACCGAAAAGGCCTCCCCCGGTCGCCGGCTTGGCGGCATTGTTTCCGAACAAGCCGCCGCCGCCGCCAGCACCGAAACCTCCGGTAGAACCACCTCCAAAGGCGCCGGTGGTTGTTGTTGTGTTTGTGGTGTTGTTGGCTCCACCACCGAAAAGACCTCCTCCAGTAGAGGCACCTGTTCCGAATCCTGTGGTCTGCTGGTTGTTGGTCGCTCCGAATCCGCCACTGCCAAAGTTGGAAACACCAAAGGCTCCTCCTCCACTGGCATTGCCGTGACGACGGCCTTGAGCATAGTCAGCCAACCTCAACTCATCGGACGACCACTTCTTGTACGGCTCTTGGAAAAGGATGTTTTGGAAGGAGTTGGACTGGTTTCCAGCTCCAGTAGTCTCCTTCTCTTGGTGTGCTTGGAAGGGGGTGATCGCAGTGCCTGGTGGGTCGCCAACGTTGGATCCGATGCCGGGGTTCATGGTCGCGCCGAAGCCACCGCTGGCAGTATTCGTAGTTCCGCCGAAACCAGTAGACGTGGCACCGCCGAAGAGCGATGTGCCGCCGGTAGTATTAGCGGTGCCGGAGCCGAAAGCGGGCTTGTTGGCACTGCCGAATAAGCCTCCACCCGAGGTGCCTCCGAAAGGCGATGAGGTATTCGTGGTTGTGGTGTTGGCGCCAAAGCCGCCGAATCCTGTAGATGGAGCGGCTGTTGTGTTGGTAGTGCTGGATGCACCGAATAGGCCACCTCCGGTAGATGGAGTGGCCCCAAAGGCGGGTTTCGCGGCACCGAATGTCGAGCCTGTGTTGGCGCCGAATCCTAGAAAGCATGTAAAGTTAGCATGATACTGATGGAGCCTGTGCATCATCCACTCCTGACAGCGGCGAGATCAACCTACCCGATGATGTGCCGCCAAAAGCACTGGTTGTGCCGCCGCCGCCGCCAAACAAGCCGCCACCGGTATTGGTGGTACCGGTAGACCCAAAGGCATTGTTTGTAGTGTTGCCAGAGCCGAAGCCTTGAGCACACGGTAGTTAGTTGGCAGGCAATCGGGGAAGGAGTGGAATAAGACAGGACAACAAGGTGAGGTGATGCGACGGAGATGGATTCGACTTACCAGTGCTAGCAGTGGTGTTGTTGGTGGCCCCGAAGCCGCCAAAACCAGTAGATTGCTGATTGTTGGTCGAGCCAAAGCCGCCGAAGCCGGTGCTGCCAAAGCCGGACATGATGGGCGATGACTAGCAGCGACGAAGTCGTGATACAGTCGTGGCCAGTTGATCGATGGCGCGACGAGGGCGTTAGGTCCAGGCTCGTGGACGCAGTATGTGTCGCCGACGATCAGTTGCGGACAAACATCCAGCGCAATCGGATCGGAGGGGTGCCGATGATGTTGATGTGCTATCGTCGCGTCGGCGGAATCGATTGACGACGTGACTTGGGTGAGCTGTGTCGAGTACACCTACCTTAGCCAAGGTTGTGGTCGAGTTTTTTTTGCACTTTGCGAAGCGCGCTGAGGAACGGAGAGATACGTGGAGAAAAAAAGGCTGGGGGGGTGGGAAGGGATGCGCGCTGCCCAGGTACTGACTGGTACGAAAGGGGCAGGGGGATTGAACAGCCCAAGGAAGGTACTGGGAATGCAAATCGTCAAGACGTCGACAGAAGCAGCAAGACAACAAAAATGCAACGGTCAAAACTGCTGTCAAACTTGCCAGGTGAAGTTTGCGGTTTAGTCGCGTGTGCCTACGGGAAGGGTGAAATGATTTAAGTAGGTAAATGGACTTGAGCTCACGTCTCTTTGCAGAGGTTACTTCCAAAGCTGGCGCGGTTGGAAAGGTGCCCAAGTAGCGTAGGAAGCTTAGGTAAGGTGAGGTGGTAGCTCCCGCGGGCGAGATCTAGGCGTGCTAGGTAGCTTCCGACAACTGCTGCCTGAGGACAATGGCTGTCTCCGATTCGACAACTTGAAGGAGCTTGGATAAATCAGCCAATGATCAAGCTAGAATTCTGTTCCAGGCAGTTGTACCTACCTACCTAGGCAGAGCCACCCGCAAGTAGCTTCCGCCTAATTTTATTAATAATGGTACCTTTGCATCTCTTACATCGTGGGCATAAACGGCATCCACGAAAACGCCTGCTAGGTCATCAGATCACGTTTTCGCTATTGACGTTGATTCATACGCTCAAATGCATGTTTCCCGAGGCATATTCTATAGGTACTCGAGATCCCCTTCCTTCCTTTCAATTGGTCAAGTCGTCTTGCATTGAAGTCAGGGAGAATCTAGGCCTTGTGCATTTGTCAGAAACCTGTCTCTCCATTATGAATCCATCTCCAGTTGGTACTCATTTATAAATTCTACCTAGGCTGCCACACTCGAGGACACAACCCCCTGTGCCCCTTTGATAGAAGCGAAAATCCAACAGATTTTTGGCCAAGATGGTTACTGGTTGTAAGTGCTAGCCGTGATCATCTTTGCCTGGAAAGCATGTTACTGTGCAATCTACATGAGACGACATTAAACCCTTCCATTACTTATCACTGAATCCGGTGGCGGGTGCATGCTGTGGCCAAATTTCAAAGATCATAAATGGCTCATTGAAGAGCGCTATAGGCAAGCTGTGTAAATGTAAATCGAAGCAAACCGCCGGCCAACTATGAACAGGAACAAGTTGAGTCCTCTGCCGGGTATGTGACCGCACCGCAAGTAAAAACTTCCGCATCCCCCAGTCTCTAAAAATAAAATAAAAAAAAAGAATCCTTTTGAACCTGAGTGCAAACATTCGTTGGCTTGAACAGCGCCGATGATCAAGCGCCTGAGTCAGCCTCGTAGTATATCCCCCCCGTGACACGGTGACCTAAAACTGAATGAGGTCCTGCGGCTGGGTGTTTTGCTGCTGTGGTCTTCCGACCGCAAATGGATTGTTGCTGCCATTGATACCTGCAGGACCTGTGGCAGCCGGCATTTGCTGCCCATATGACATGCTGGGCATGCCTGTGAATTGTGATCGGAGGAAAGGGTTGCTTCCAGTTGCCTCCGCAGTGAGTCGCTGAGCACCAGAGCCGGCGCTGTTGACAAAGGTCCCAGGTGCAGTGTGCTGCGCGGGAATACGTGTCTGGCCGGTGTTGCCGTATGTGTCCATACCGTCTCCACCAGCAAGCAGCGCATTGAGCTTGGCTTCGTGGTCCGTAAGCTCCTTCTGCGGAGTTCCAAAGGATGGCTGCGAGGTGAGTTGAGGTTGCTGAGGTTGCTGAGGTTGCTGAGGCAGCGGCTGTTGCTGCTGCTGCTGCTGAGCGAAGCTGGGCTGGCTGAAAGCTGAGAGTGTCTTCTGTTCTGGTAAGGGGGGCATGGAAGTTTGCGTCTGAGGGCGGCCAAATGAGGACGCGAATGGGTTGTTGGAACCCGTTTGCATTGGTTTCATTGGGTTGCCCGCCTTCATCGAACCGGTCGACCACGGGTTGTTGCTCCCTGGCTGCGAGGCTGTCTCCTGAGGGGTGATGTTCTGCTGAGCGTAAGGGTTGTAGCCCGTTGGCTGCGGCTGGAAGCCTTGCATGCCCTGTTGTTGTCCGTAGGGGTCCATGCCGAAACCGTTGCCGCCGTAGCCATTCTGGAATCCTGTCGCCTGCGGCTGTTGGTACCCGGTGTACGCATTGTTCATGTAACCGGTGGGTTGCGTCTGAAGTTGGTTCTGGTCGATGGGATTGGCGAAGAAGTCCACAGCGCTGCCTTGCTGATAGCCTTGGTTAAATCCAGTGTACTGCGGTTGCGTTGACTGGACGGGGGTATCGTCGAAGAGGAGCGAGGCGTTGTTGTCTTCCATCTCTCGTCTGCGCCGTTCGTCCTCCTCTTTGCTAAGTTTGATCGCCTTAGCTAGGTCATCGTCCTCGGTTTCGTTGGCGCCGCGGCCGGCTCGTTTTCGGCGGTCCTCTTCCTCCTGATGCTTGCTAGCCTCAATGGCGAGTCTGTATTCAGTATCGTCCTCGTTGCTCATACGGCGGCGGACACGCGGTTGAGTAGGGCTGGTATGCTGAGGAGCGAATTCTTCTAACCCGGTGACGCGGGACTTCCATGACTTGCGATCGCTTCTTTCGGCTCGAAGCCTCTCTTCGTCCAGAATGAGAGACGTAAGTTCCTTGGCGGCAACACGTACTAGTCACTGTGTTAGAAACCCCAAGAATTGACTAAAGTGAACGCACTAGGAATAGTAGAGGGGGCGCATACCGTTTTGGCCAACATCTCTACCGTCTTCATCGATGTACTGGAACTCGCGCAATGTCTTGATGATGTAGATGCTCTGTCTCGCCCACGTCACGACAAGCTCGGAGCCCTCGTGCAGGCAGTAGTCGAGCACCTTGAGGGCTTTCAAAACGTGCCTCCAGTTTTTTCCCTTGTCGTTCAAACGCTTGTCGAGCATGTCCATAATTTCATAGAACTCGGTAGATCTGAATTATAAATTTAGCGGACTCCCATGATCGACGGTGAAGGGAAAAGCCTACGTGTTGTACGTGAGCTGAGCAATCTCGCTCATCTGAGTTCCGGTAGGACCCCATGGATCGTTGCTGGTTGCTAAAAGACGAGTGTCAGGATGGGTTCCGAGGAGGACGAATGCTCAGGAACTCTGCGACTCACCTTCTCTAACCTTGACCTGGACACTGGAGTAACCTTTGGTCACGTTCTTGACACTTCGCATAACCTTGGACATTTTGGCGGTGTTTTGATCGTCAGTCCGTCAGAGGGTGTTGTTTTGTCAGTAGGTGGTGTGCGATGGGTTGGTAGGCGATGCCAAGTCCGGTTCCCGTGAGGAAGGGAGGTTGGGTATTGTTCGGGAGAAAGTGGGCTGTCGGATGCGCTGGAAGAAAGTGACGACAGCGACGCGATGTAGCTGGGTGCGATTGGGGCAACAACAACGGAGAGCTTGAGCCCAACGCAGGCGATTGCTGATTGCTGATGCGACGAGCAACAGCACGAAGAATGATTGACGGTGTTGTCGGAGAGCAGGATAAAAGCGCAGCGAAGTGACAGGCTGATGATGGATGGAAGTCAAAGGTTGGAGGTGGGAGGGGCGCTTGTGACGACAGCTTGGTCCAACGAATCGAAGGACGGCCTAGCACAGAGCGTTGGCAGACGAAGGGTCGGCGGAGGGGGATGAACGGGTCGCAAGGCCGACTTCGCCAGTGGTTGGGGTGAGGAGGCAGGCCAGATGACGGCGGATAGCGGAGCCCAGCAGACTGAGAAACGGAGATGGAGTGCCTAGCTGGCTAGTGGGTAGATTTTTGGCGACGAAGATGGCGCTTGTTTGTGCCTAGAGCGTCGCGATTGTCGGAAGATGGAAGTTCTGAAGGTGAAGCATTAAAGTTTGTCAAAGATGAGCGACTTGGGGAAGCAACGTGGAACTTGGAAGGCAAAAAGACAGAAAGGTCCCGGTTCGGTTGGCACTGGCACTGACTTTGGCACTGGGCACTGGGCACTTGGCACTGGGGCGGGAGTGACGACCTGAGTGTCACACTTCACGTCTCTGGCGGTGCGGCGAGTGCGTGTGCGTAATGCAACTTGGCCGGGCGGTCGGAGACGGAGACTGCGACTCGGAGGTCCAAGACTTTGGAGTGCTGGAGCAGTCTCCCTCCAGGTCTGTCCCGCGCATAGAAGTTACCTCAGTGTGGAGCCAGAAGGCTGTGTCGGTAAAGGTATCCGTACCTACCTTGCTTCGGTACGGAGTACAAAGTACAAATACCTTACCTTTCCTGACAGCCAAGGTCTCAAGGTACCTAGCACACGTTCACCTGGATGGCAAGTCATCTCAAAGAGGTCGTGGATGTGTGAGGCACTTCGTCTAAATTAACGTTGGTCAATTTGTGTAGCGGACGCCCGTACCTCCATCTTGGTAGCGCAAAGCTGGCGGTATCTTATGCCTCGAACAACATGCGACAGGATGTGCCTCTGCAGGTCTTCATTCCGACAAGTACCTTACCTCACATGTTGCAGGCGATCAAAAAAGCTACCTACCCGACCTAGGTATTTAAGCATGTGCTTTGAGGTTAAGGTACAAGCAGACCCCATCAACGACACCTCACCGACGGATACGCGGCTGGCGGATCCCCTGATGCCGGACCCAACCTTGCCAAACTGACATTTCCAGGTAACTTATGGGCAGACATTTTACCTACCTTAAGCTACACTAGGTACCTCACCAGCTTACCGACCTGTTCGGCTCTTACTAAGGTAAGGTAAGGAAGGTATTACCTCCAGCATTGCAGCTCTATTACACGCCTGCCCATTCACTCCCATGTTCACTCGAGAATGATCTTCTCAGAAAATGTGTCGCTGCCTATCTATCCTCTGTGTCACGTAGACAAATACTTTATCACGTGCCTGCCCGTACTGAAAAGGCACGTAACTCAGCGATTGGATGAGAGCAACAAGAAGGTGGCCAAATCGGAGGCTGCGGCCATGTCATCAAGGGAGGCTGAGTGAATTTAGCTTCGGCTCCTCTACGGTCGAGGTGCTGAGCAGAATAGATACGGAGGCATACTATCGCAAGGTCATGTGAGGTGGCCGGAGACGTATTTGCGCGGGACGGTACGGATAGGAAGCGTGACAGCCAGTCTCTTCATAACGGAGAATGCTGGGAAGACGCTAGGGCGAACCGTGTATGTCACAGAAGTTAGAACCAGACGCACCTTCAGTTAGCCACATTTCGATACTCAGTAATGTCAGCCTCAACTTTAGGTTTGCTTTCCTGCAGGTAGGTAAACAAGATTAAAGGGTTTTCCAAGTATTGCAAAAGTTGTCAGTACTGCCAACACCTTTTGGAGCTGCCTTCGTCCACAGTAAGGACACTAGCTGAACACGTTCCACTAGTAGTCGATTTGACTATTAAAAAAAGAGAACATAAATCAACGAATAGTTGCAGCGCTGGCATTACTAACAAAAAACAATATGGTACAAGTCGGCTCGTATGAAACTAGAAATAATAATAGTGTAAGGGGGTATCGGCTGTTTGGCATCACTCGTCCTCTGCTTGGCCACCAACATCACCGTTGGGTTCGCTTGCTGCTCCCTCGGGGCCACCGTCCTCGTGTTCCCCTTCCTGGAACTGCACGCGAACCACATCCATTGTCTCGTTGCCCTCGATGGTGAGCTCTTCGACCTCTTCGCCATTGGTCACAGCAAGGCCAGCCAGCCGCTGTTTCTCTTGCTTCTCTCTAAGCCAGCCCGGCGGGAGACCGGGTCCACTATCGGCATTACCGTAATCGCTTTTCTTAGTACCCTTCGGCCAACGGCCCGGTCCACGTCCCGTCCCCCCAGTTTTACGCCGTGATGACGACGATGAGCTTTTGCTCTTGGGTCGGCTCGATGTGGTTCGTCTCGCGCTGCTGCCACCACCCGAACGTCGTGGTCTGGAGTTGCTGCTCGTTGTTCGTGCTACGATAGGCCGAGGTACACTGGGTCGCGGCCGGTCGGACCGTCGACCCCCCGGAGGCGGATATACCTCGAACCTCGATGGAGGTACGTCTTTGTATAAGCTGGCCCAGTCGCGTCCGGCCATTTGTTCGGGGGTAGACTGAAGCGCTTCCTTGAGCTGAAACGGGTCTTCCTCAGCCTGTTCTAGGCCAGTCTCGCCGTTCATCAGACCGTCTGGATGTGACTCCGTCGATTCAAAAATGTTGGACTCCAACTTCGGCCCAGTCGCTTCTGTATCAGTCTCCTCAGCGATGTTCGATGGACCGCCTTCAGCAACGGAAGTGTTGTCGATAGTGCCATTGGCTGCTGCCTCTTGTTGAGAGGCTGGTAGCGGCACACTCTGCACAGGTTTGTGAATGTCATCTTCTTCTCGTGGCGCAATCGCGCTGATAGCTGGACCCAACTCAAAGTTTGTAGCATTGCCTCGTCCCATGACGTACGGAGTCCAGGTGAGCGCTTCTGGATTCAGTTTGACGTAGTCCTTGCTCTCCCATTTCGCTATGTAGTCGTTACAGTACGAAAGGTCGACGCGGAAGGCGTAGAGCTCCGTAACTGGATCACGGACGAGGCATCGGAGACCTTCAAGGGCAGAGATGACGTCGTCAGGAGTCAGTCCTGTATCGTCGGACATTTGCCGAACACTGAGGCCCGGTGCCGTAGACTTATCCTCCTCGACATGGTCAAGGAGATACCGGCAGAGTACCAGCCTCCAGTAGTTGCGGTAGGAGACGAGACCCATGTCCGAAAGAGGCTTTTCTGGTGATCCAGTCTTTCGCTCTACGCGAGTGAGCAAGTATGAAAAGTCAATCAGGAGATTGCCGTAGCCTTTTCGCTGGTGTATGGGCAGGGTTAGAATGCAAGAAACATTGTTCTGGCTGCTGGCTCGTTTCTCCTTGGAGAAGTAACCCACAAAGTGGTAGCCAAGAGCATCGTATTCGCACAATACGTAGAAAAGGAACGGCTCAACATCGTAGTAGAGCGTTTTGGACCCTAAGAATAGTTTGGCGAGGAGACAGAGATTCTGGCAGTAGACGGGGTTTTTTCGGCCATCAACCTCAAAGACCGAAACGGATCCATGCCGGTATATCTCGTCGCCTGGTGGATGTTTGGCTGGGCACTTTAGCTTATGACGCCAGGCGACATAATCCGAGTTCATGTACTTCAGACAGAATTCGCAAATGTAGAGAGTGCGATTCCGGCTATACTCCTCTGGATAGGGAGCGGCATACCAAGTGTCGATTTCCCAGCCTCCAAAATCGATGCACTCAATTTGGCTCGCTGGTCCAGCATGTTTCTTGGGCCTCTTGGCTGGCGTCGCTAGGTTGAGTTGGACACTGTGGAGACGAGCTCGCCATACCTCCTCGGCTTTTTGCTTGGCTTCATCGAATTTTCGGCGATCATCATTGGTCGGCAAAGTCCTTGATGTGTCTGCTTCGTTCTCACTGAGAATGCCTCCGTATGGCTTTGTTCTTACGTCGTCGGTTTCTCGGTCCAAGAAGGAATAGAAGGGATGTGAGTAGTCAGTGGAAGCAAAGGAAGCTGCCATGGCTGCAGCCAATCCATCCTGGGACGAAGCCGTCGTGTCTATCACTTTCTCCGTTCTTCTTCGATTGGACGAGGACTTTCTTGACAGCACGCGGCGAAGGGCGGCTGGCTTGACACGCATCTTGACAATGATGGACCGGCTCCGTCGAGTGATAGTAACCGCTTTTGACTTTCGAGGGGGGTGTAGACGTAGTTTGCGGCGTGTATCCTTCTCCCCAGCTCCGTTGGCGCCGTCCTGTAGTGTGCCTGTACCATGGCTTGATTCCCTATCTTTGGGCGTGTTTCGTCGACGCTTCCTGAGCGACATGACGATTTCCTCAGCTTCGACAGAAGACGTCTTGCGCTTACGAAGAACTCGGGTTCCATCCATGGGATCGTCGTTCAAGAGAAGATGATTGAACACCGAGTGAGAGTCAGGTTTTGAGGTGCCTTTTTGGGGCGGAAGCAGGTCTCGCGCTACTTGGGATGCCGTTGACCGTCTGGACGACGGAGACAGTCCAAGTTCGTGCTCAGCATCTGGTTCCTGCTCAGCTTCAAGCTTTTCTGCATATTCGGGAGAAGCATTCGTTCGAGACTCGTCGGCACGTATGTCATCAGCAGTCGCGCAATCGGGGCACTTCCACTGAGAAGCAGCTACAAGAAAGAATTAGACACGATAAGGCTTAACGGAGGAGGGGAGTATATACTGTTAAACTCCTGCAACGCGCCGGCCTCTCTGGCGCAATGTTGGTGTGCTAAATAGATATTGTTAGCTTTCTGCGCCATATTTTTCCGCCCTATGATGTAAAGCACTTACAGTTCTCTCCACATCCAACGCAAGCTAAGTACTCTTCGAAGTCTTCTGCCGGATCATGTTCTTCATCTTGTTTACAGAACATGCAGGTGTTCATCGCTGCGTCTTCTGAACCTTCGTCTTCGTCTTCTTCTTCCTCTACGGCGACGTCGTCCCACGCTTCGCCTCCTTCGGACTCGTTGCCAGACTCACTGTGTGATTCCGAGTGCTCGCTATCCGGCTCATCTGCGTCCTCATCATCGGTTTCGCCTGGTCTAATCTTAACAGCGCCAACACCTTCTGCCTCATCTTCCTCAATGTCATCTAGCAAGCTGCTGCTGCGACTGCGCGCACCGCCCGAAGCTTCGTCTCCATCGTCTTGTTCCAGGCGCTGATCCATATCGACGCCAGAATACTCGTCCAGGTTCTCTTCTAGAGAGTCCTGCTCGGACAGTTCACTATTATCGTCCGCATTCTCGGCCATTTCGATGTCCCCGTCCAAGGCAGGCGCGTCTCTTTCATCGTCTTCATCGCCGATCGCATCCGAAAGTTCGTCGTCGTGCGTGTTTGGGTTCGTCAAGGGACTCTCGGTATCCTGAGGCAACTCTTCGACGGGCACTGCTGGCGCGTCTTCGATGTCGGCATCTTCATCTGAAAGAAGAGCGCTCTGCTGCAGCTCTTCTTCGGTGAGTTGAGCGCTTGCCATCTTGTCGTCGAAGCTCGAAGATCGCGGGAGTTTGCGGATTGCAATCGTCTATCAGAGCTATTGCTTCGAATTCCGCCCGTGAATGACAAGGTTCCGGTATTCGCAGCCCATAGCTAGCAAGAAAGCCAAAGGATCGAGCGAGTCTGGCGCACAACTGTGGTGAATCGGCTGGCCGTGAGCGAATGTTGTTGAGCGAAATGAGCGCGTTTAGTCTTGGGCGACAATGCGCGGCAAACATGCACTGTTGTTGGTACAGATCGAATGCTGTCTCTTGGCAGAGGGTTTTGACGCGTTACTAGATGGTTGACACAGGTTCCTCCACGACTGTAGAAATGCCAGCAATGGCTTTCACGTCTTGTCCGAGGCGCAGATACCTAGTTGACAGACTGGCGCAAGCCAAGGGATGCGACTTCCACACCTGTGGCGCGTACAGTAATCAGTCAATTGAGCACTGTGTCTGCACCACCTGGGTCAAAGGTGAGGTTCCCACGGTAGGTAGGTATGCGCGACATGCAGCTGGGTCACCGGGTGTGGGACGGTAAGGCAGTGGAGGTACCTAAGGTAATAGGTAGGCGCCTCCTACGCAGTACCTGGGTAGCTACCTGCTAGCCAGTTGCCATGAGCTGCAACCTTGGGGGAGGGGCTAGGTATTGCCAGGCGTGTCAGGGACAGAAACAATGGATGGAGGGTTCCCACTTCTATTCAATAACTCCCACAGTGACCAATGGCAAGCTGCCGGGACCTTTCGCAATGCTCAGCCAATCAGTCTGATCGCAAAAGCACTGACGCGAATTAGATATCACGTGATTCAGAAATAACCAGTTCGACGGCCCGACGACTTGCGGATTGCTTCTATCAATTGGTCAATCAATTCAAGGAAGCCGGAATCCAACGACGTCTCCCGTAGACACCGACGACTGCAATCCGTGTCTCTTGTCAACCTTGCGACCTCTCGATACATACAAGCCGACGAATAACGACGCTCAGCCGAACGGCTATCCGCTACCATGCCCGTCCCTTTCGAAACCCTGATTCCCTATGGAATCATGATTGCTGTAAGAGCTACCTTGTGATTGCCATTGCGCCGGCGCGAAACGACTTCAACCTCCACGACGGAAACTAACGTCGTATTCAGATGTTCGGTATCACCGGTACCGGACTGCACGTCATCAAGGGCATTCAGAACGGCGGAAAGAAGCCCCGTTGGGGCTTGGATCAGTGGGATAGGGTGAGTATTCGTGAACTGGCACTCCTTCAATATTTACGTTGCTAACCTCGCTTTCTTACAGCAAAGTACGTGTCCAACCGACAGGGAACATATCCTACTGTTCGATCGAAAGCTAACCTAAAGATATAACAGTGATGGACCGGGATCGCAGACTCACGGGCGATCTGCGGGGACAGATTGCCAACCACGAAGCGCCTCCAGGCTTCGAACTGAACCACCCCTGGAGAGTATGTATTTGCTTGCGACGGATGACTGAAAATCGGCTAACCATATCGTACAGTTGGAGAAGCGTATGACATAGAGGATGGGGTTCAACAGAAAACATGTATGCTACTTTGCCTGGAAACCATGGGGGTTTCACTATTCATCATCCCTTCAGCCACCCAATGAAACTTTTATTTCCTGTTCAGTCTCAGAACTGCTGCCGTAGTCTATGCGATTATTGAGTTAATCGTGCCGGTCACGTCTAGTGGAGGGGTGGGAGGTGGGCCACAGACAAACATTGTGAATGTCTGCTAGTTCTGGCTTGGGATGAGGATCTTGTTATCTCTATAAGCTAATCTGCGCTTTATTCTTGTTCAACCCATCCACCAACAGACAGGCTTGACAGATGGCTTGACTAGACATGTAGCCGCATTTTTCACACTTGCCCAATGTCTGTAATGGAGCACTTGTAGTTGCCTGTGCTTGGCCATGTCTCGGTCTGGGCGTCTCAGGCGAATTCTGAATCTTCTTTCCAATCTTTAGTGAAGGTGAAGGAGCAGTTGTGAAGTCTGTCTCCTGAGATTTGGTCAGAGTTGTCTGGCTCAAGCTTGCATCCAGTTGAGCAATTTCGGTCGCAAGGCCTTTGCTTTGCTGCGAGCCGCAGCCAGCAATGAAGTCATCCTCAGCGACACGGGGAGCACTTCCTTTGCAGGCGCAAGAGCTGCCTGATCCTCCCGCAACCAGCCGAGCCATATCCTCACCGCTGCGGACTATATCCAATATAGCACTTGGCCGCACCCGCTCGAGATTCTTGATCAGGGTGCGAGCAGTGCCGCGGAAAGCTTCGGGGCTGTAGATGCATTCGGTACTGAAGTAGTCGAGCTTCTTATGATGAGCATATAGCACGATTTCCTTCTCGTAAGAATACTTGAGGGGCTTGCTGCGCTTGACATCGCTAGTGTCGTCGCCAGTGACGATACTTGTGCTGCGACCTAGCCGTGGCAAATCGCCTCTCAAGAGGTTCATGAGGATGGTTTCAGCAACATCATCTGCGTTGTGGCCGGTGACAACATGTTTAATGTTCAAAATCCTGGCGCCTCGATCCAGTGCCTGTCGGCGGAACACACCACAATATGTGCAGTTGCCCTTCTTTCCAATCACTTCGACAACCTGGTCCATCGTCCAGCCGTACAACTCGTCGTACCCTACTATAGTAAGGGGCATGTCGTACTGCACGGCATTTCTCTTGACGGTTTCTAGCGAATCGTCTCTATAACCCTTGATTCCCTCATCGATGCTGAGGAGTACAAGATTCAAGCCGTAGTCATACCTGTCGTTTAGGGTTTTGAGAACACTTGCTAAAACGGTCGAGTCTTTGCCACCCGAAGCCCCGATAGCCACCTGCTCTCCACGAGAAAATAGTGAGGAAGAGACAATAGTGTGATGTACTTCTTCCTCAAATACTGAGATAAAACAAGCCTTGCAAAGTTTCTGGTGGTTCTTGGGCCGCTTCACGAGCGCGCGCTCGGTCTTGCACTTTGCGCATAGTACCGGTGCCATCTTGATTGCTGCACCACGAGAAAGGAAAAGTAGGTCCCCGGCGATACGAGAGGCGTCCCAGAGAAATAGTGTCGTGTCGGCAGCGGAGGTTGAGTGCCACTTTGCGCTGGAGGAATCGTCTCCTCAGTTGAATCGACGAACTTCAGAATTGATACCCCGCGGTGGATCGGACAGGATAAAATTGAGCTGAACCGGAAGATTAAGAACGCAGTGTACGTGTGCTTGGGTGTCTTCACGTAATATGTGTTCCGGGGAAAGAGTGGTCCGGGGGGTCGAATCGAAAAATATGTCGTTGCTAGATCGAAGTTAAGGAAAATTTGAGAATAGCATGTGTCGCTGTGTCGCTTTGATGACCTTGGAGTCATCATCGTCGGCGCAATAGGTACGTACCGCAAAGCGGGATTCCGTGCCTGATCTTCGATCACTTAGTGGGCATGATACCACACGGGTACTTCGTACTGTCATTTAGCGCAGAAAAGGGACGGGAAATTCTCTCCAGCATCTAAATAGGTACTCCTCGTTGGCTTTGCCATGCACTACAATCATCTGCTCTAACAATTTTCATCCCTCGAATAACAAAGACTGTCAGCCTGGTTTTGATAAGGAAACAAGACACGAGGCTCTCGTTCGTATTGCTCCTGCTATCTCCATTTCGCATTGCCTGCCAGCTTGCACGCTTGAGCTGCCAAACGGGTAATTATCTATGCCAGCAGAAGGTTGATCCAGGATGGGCGTAAAGACTTGTCATGGGTACTTCAAGAGTCGGTCCAATAGTGGTGAACAAGATGACCAACAATGAGGTGCTCGGGTCTTTGAACTTTTTGTCTGGCGCAAAAGTGACATTCCATCTTCCCTCGTAGTGGGGTCGAGTACCTGTCGTCCCTGTCAAGGCTATTCCGCGCAACATTTGTTGAGGCAACTTCAAGCCTCCAGGTCGCTTATCGTCGGAAAGTGATCATCACGTGGAGATAAGACCAGCGGTGCGAAATCCCCCCGGTACCTTAAGGTACGGTGCAGGTACGCGACCACGTTGTGAATGTTTCTTATCGGGTACCCACCCTATCTTGCCCTAATCCAATTTTTTCGCGCCCACACCAACAACGTCTTATCCTCGTCTCCCGAAATTTATGTTTCTGCATACCGACCTTCTCTTCATCCATCCCCGCCAAAGGCAGTATCACGACAACCGACAAAATGGTGAGTACACATTGAACGAAGACGGCTTCATCTGCCCTCGAGGCCAATCTCCATCCAGTCTCGCTGCTATGCGAACTGCGATTTTCCGTCTCGGCCGTCGGTCCTCAGCTAGCTTGCTTGTTGGGACGGGCCGTTGATGATGATTTGGCTGGAAGGGATGGTGAAGTGTTGGATTCACTTCCAATGCTTCTCCGTCCTTCTCCTTAGAGTTAAAGGAAGACACAAGTTGATTTGAACAATTCACTGATGTCTTGCTTTCTCAATGATAGCCTCCCAAGTCCGGTAAGAAGGTGGCTCCCGCCCCTTTCCCTCAGGGAAAGGCTGGCTCCAAGAAGGCTCCTAAGGTTAGCACAAATCCTCTCCACGATTGCGCGCGCAGTTCCATAGATGGCTGACAACGGTCACAGAACCCTCTCATTGAGCGCAAGCCCCGCAACTTCGGCATCGGCCAGGACATCCAGCCCCGTCGCAACTTGGCCCGCATGGTCAAGTGGCCCGAGTATGTCCGTCTTCAGCGCCAGAAGAAGATCTTGAACATGCGCCTCAAGGTCCCCCCTGCGATCGCCCAGTTCCAGCACGTCCTCGACCGCAACACCGCCGCCCAGGCTTTCAAGCTCCTCAACAAGTACCGCCCTGAGACCAAGGCCGAGAAGAAGGAGCGTCTCGTCAAGGAGGCCACCGCCGTCAAGGACGGTAAGAAGAAGGAGGACGTCTCCAAGAAGCCCTACACTGTCAAGTACGGTCTCAACCACGTCGTTGGCCTGATCGAGAACAAGAAGGCTTCCCTCGTCCTCATCCCCAACGACGTTGATCCCATTGAGTTGGTCATCTTCCTCCCCGCCCTCTGCCGCAAGATGGGTGTCCCCTTCGCCATCATTAAGGGCAAGGCCCGCCTCGGAACCGTCGTCCACAAGAAGGTATGTCTACCCGGTCGTCACAGATCCTGCTGTTGCGGCTTACTGACTGATGATAGACTGCCGCCGTCCTCGCTTTCACCGAGGTCCGCTCCGAGGACAAGAGCGAGCTCTCCAAGCTTGTTTCCGCCATCAAGGACGGATACCTGGAGAAGACCGACAGCGCTCGCAAGCAGTGGGGTGGTGGTATCATGGGTGCTAAGGCCCAGAAGCGCACCGAGAAGAAGCAGAAGGCTCTTGACAACGCCATCAAGGTCTAAGATGGAACAATACCCGGACTACTTTAGTGTATTAGGAGACTAGGCCACTGGAGGCTATCGGATCATAAAAATTTGGCATGGCGTCGGGATTATTCTATTGGGTTTCAAGTTCATGCTTTGCTTCCATGACATGGTGACCTCACGAACCCTTTACTCTCAATCCGGCACATTTCTTCTTTAATCCTGCTCAATTCTTAGCAATGATGTGAAATTTGACGGTTCGCGGGTATCAAAGACACTGGTGGCTAAGTCTTTTTGCAAAGAACTCAGGCCCAATACTGTAAGGAAATTAAAGATTACTGACGTCCTTCCTGTGGGTTGCGGAGTAGTCAAGTCTTATCTGATGGCAGTCTGCCATGGGCTCACGGCGCAGTCATACAAATGCCAAGTCAACCCATTATTAAGGCGGACGGGTATGTCCGTCCATGGATGCCGTGGTCTACTCTGTGCTTACCGAGGGCCTTTCTCTCTCAAAAGTCTTGGCAAGTCGCATCTGGCGAGATGCGACAGCGTGAGATACTACAGGACCACTCTGTAGAACGAGTGTACGGAGTAGTAACAAACAACCAGTTATAATCGGCTGTGGGGTTGATCGACGACAGGGGTCCCACAACTTGATGAGAAACCCAGACAGAGGCGCAAGGGTCCAAGTGCGGTAGTGCTCCAGATCGACCATCGAAATACCGTACGATGATGCAAAACTCTGGGTTCCTCAACAAAGTGCCAAGAACCAAGTCTGAGAACATGCTCTCCTTATAGCTGCGGTATGGTAACCTGAGGGCCTCTGCACGCGTGCAACGCTGAAGAGCTGCTGCACGCCAAGCCGGTAAACCTTGTGGTGCATTGCGCGTTTTGTATTCTGGGCTGAGCAATCTCCCCAGGTTGGTAAATACAGGCAGCCCTGTTTCTCGCTGGCTATTTCTTTCTTCGCATACGCAATTATTCTCATCCCGTCCGCTTGTCGAATGTTTGTGGAAGACGGCGCATTCCATGAATGTCGGGCGACCCGGACCGGATGCAGACCCGGGGCCAGCTTTACATTCATTGTGTGCTCTGCCGCCTCAAATCCCGAAGCTGTACGTAGGTATTGTGGGAATGACCCCGGCCCGGGTTGTCTATGGAAAAGGCTCCCCCCCCCCCCACCCCTTTTTTTTTTCCTTGTTCCCTCAGACTCCAAAGTCGCCGTGGCCGCAAATATCGAAAACATTCTGATTTTCTTGGCATTCGTGTACCCATATGCTTCCACTTCTGGCACAGAGATGTCCCTGTCCATCCAAAGAGCACGACTGCGAGTGCGACCCGAGCTCTGGACGTGCTCGGCCTATTTACAACTCTACGTAGGCCAGGTTGACTTTTGTCTTCTCATACGACCGGACCATTGCCCCGGCGGTTTATACTCTGTGTGGGGTGTAAAAAAAGAGGTGAGCCTACCTATGAAGAGCAGAGGGAAACATGAGGAAGTGCCCGCCCGGCAACTAGCACGCTGCCACGCAGACATTCAATGAGAGCTTACATTAGCTAGCTAAACTGCTTTAGGTTAGTAAGCAACCACCAAACACTGTTCTCCTCTTCCAGAAAGCTTGGTTGCATTTCTCTTTCTCACTGGTTCTTCCGGTCAACCAAGAGTTTCCTCGTGGATTGATGAACAACTGGTCAACAATGTCGACTCTCGATACTCCTTTTCATTGGTAAACAGTCCTGTCTGCATTGTGATTGAGATAGAGACATGAACCCAATCTGTCAGATCACCGTCGATCACACCATGGAGATCAGCGAGGGAAGGATTGGGATTACGAAGGATGCCTTGCCTTTACGGCAGTATTGTGAGGGATGACACTGACAAGCACTGTTTCACAGCCGGGAGTCGCCCTTGGTTCGACTGTTTTCCCATGACTTCTAGTAGTCCCAAAGACAGAGAGCATGGATCATATTCCACGGTGGCGCATTAGAGACGGAAGGTTCACTATGGCCCACTGCCCTTGTCTGTCAAACAGTCAGTTCAGCTTGTCAGCGGCTCGGTCAGATCCTCCATGACCCAAGTGGGCTGGAACGGAGATAAGTGCCCGACTGACGGAGATGGCCCGGCCTGACTGACCATCGCACGGAGACGGTCCTTCAGCCCCCACTCGGTGGCCGGAGACAATTATACACTGCGCGCCCTCGCCAGTGTTTTCAATCGATTAAAACCAGTCCGATTCTGTTATACACAACCGTCCATTAGAGGATAGTAGTCAGGACATATGCCGTGAACACTGGCCATGCTTTCCATTGCCATGCGGACACCGCACCGCCCCAGGGTGGTGGATTAGCCGGAGGCATAGCGCAAACGTCCCAAGTCACAGGTCACAACCCCGAAATAGTGCGCATCACAAAGACGTGACCGGGGTATGGTGTCTTCTTCCCAAGTTTCCCTCCGTCTTTCTCTCCCGTCTCCCATCTCCCCTTCCCCCCCCACCCTATTTCTGTCTTCTGCCGTGTGTACTTGTCCCTGGTGATGCCCGGGGTGTGGCACCGTCAATCCTCTGGGGAGACTCGTCCGAAAGTCTTGGCTCTGTCTGGATCTGTGTTTGGCTCTGTCTCCAGGTGCGGAGAGCTATCCACCAAATGGTCACGGTCATGGTCCCGGCCAAGAGGATTGCGGGTGGTACCCGGGGGGGTGTTCCGTCTGTCTGTGTCTCTCTGCTCTCGTCTCTCTGCTCTCGTCTCATGCATCGACTCCATGTATGGTAGCGCCCAAGTATGCATCGCCATACTACTTATATTATCCTCCATGTCTCGCCCCCCCGCGTGCTCATGGCCTTACATCTTATGATATCTGCATGTAGCCTTCTGCAGGATCTCGAGTCTATTTCGCTTGCCCACTACGTTGTCTGATACTACCATTCTCTCAGCTCAGCTTGATCTTGAAGCTCATTTACATTGTCTCAACAACACCATCTCTCATTGGATCAACCGTTCCCTCGGCGCTCCCCCTCCCACTCAACCACAAGTCTCTGCTCATCTCAACGCAAGTTTTCTGGAATAGGTTGGTTCGCCCTTCACATACCACACTCTCACACATACTCTCTCTCACTCTCACTCTCCTTCACTCGGCTCATTGGATCGTCCCTCTTTCCCCTCTCTCTGTTACTATCCTTGCTTCCTTCGCTGAAGGCTCGGAATCTCTTTGCATATGCCTGTTCTCGTCACGCATCACTAGCTCAATACATCTTGCTTATACTCAAGTGGCACGACCAGTCCGCGAGAAAACCCCAGGTTACACTACGGCATTCGGCGTTGGCCACCACCACCACCACCACCATCTTCGATCTCAGACTCCAAAGTCCCTCCCAACCAGCTTAACCCGCATACCGTCGGCCGGAACAGAAAGTCACTTGTCATACATTCGATTCTGCGGCCTTGTGTTCCCACCTACGTCGACCCGGCATCCTACGTCGTAGCCAAGGACGTCCGACAACTTTGACGTCTGTCGTGCTCTGTGTGTACAGTCAGAAATCAGCTTCTCCTTTCCAGTAGTGAACCGGCCCGGCTTCTCTACCTCGCTGCAGAAACGAGCGCCAGTCAAGGGTCTCGTATATCATTACTATCTCTACAGCTGGGCAGGTCTCAGCCAGGTTGCCTGCACACAGCATCCGGACACAGGAGCAACACGTAATACTTTCCTGCTTGCACACTTGAACCAGCTATTGCGTTCTCAGACTATCGACCGAGTCGTAGTCCAATCCATCTAGATACCCCGCAGCGTTGCTCTTACATTGAGTCCGGCTGCGTCAGTGTACATTCGATCACAATGGCTTTCCATGACCGTAAGTGCTCGACAATCTCACCTCCCTGGGTAAATAGTCCTACTGCAAGGCAACATGCTGACCTTCCATCGCCATGGATAAAGAGAACAAGTTCCTTTATGCCCTGAGCTCCAACCAAGCTTGGGCTGGATACAAATCACACCAGAATCCTGCGTTCTTCAAGAACCTTGCCTCGGGGCAGTCGCCTTCAATCTGTAAGCTCATCTGCAATGTCAACGTCCACCTTAAGCTCTGATGCTAACGCATGTCGACGCAAAGTGTGGCTAGGATGCTCTGATTCTCGTGTTCCCGAGACAACAATCTTGGGTCTCCAACCCGGCGACGTCTTTGTCCATCGCAACATCGCCAACATCGTAGCCCCCACAGACATCAACACTTCGGCCGTCATCGAATACGCCGTTGCCCACCTCAAGGTCAAGCACGTCGTGCTCTGCGGTCACTCAGCCTGCGGCGGTGCCAAGGCGGCGCTGGGCGACTCCCGTGTCGGAGGCGTGCTCGATACCTGGCTCACACCCTTGAAGACAGTCCGCGCTCAAAACGCAAAGGAGCTCGACGCCATCAAGAATGATGACCACAAGGCTGTCCGTATCGCAGAGATGAACGTCGAGACTGGTGTCAATGTGCTCATGGCCAACTTCACAGTTCAGGAGGCTATCAAAGAGCGAGGTATGACTGTCCACGGCTGCATCTTCGACATCGCGAGTGGCCGTATCCGCGACCTTGGGTTCGGAACCATGGGCCCGGGTGCCACTCGGAACGGCATTCTCAAGAACGGAGGTGGGGAAGAGGAGATCGTCCGCGGTCAACACGCTCAGCTCGTGTTCCGCGACAGCGGAGACGCCCACATGCAGGTCCGTTGAGGGTGGAAAAGAACGGCAATGTGATGATGATGTAACACCAAAGGTACCGTCTAGATACGGTGACCACTTGTCTGAAGTTAGCCTGTGAGGGGCGATGTTTGGTTTTCATTTTTGGGTTTTCATTCTTGTACTGAAATTTATGCGAGGCGCAGGAAATGGAATGACAGGCAAAATCAAGGCCACAAAGTCATACAAAGATATCAAGGGGCGTCATAGGTCTTTTAGCTCATGTGATGATAATAATAGGGGTATTTTCCCAGTTCTCTAAAGAGCCATGTGTGAACAGAGCCGTCTTGGGATTCCTGGAAACGGGAAATGGTATCCTTGCCAACGTGCTGCCCTCAACCCAGCGTAGATTAATGGGAATGAGAAATCGAAGGAGACAGAGATTCTTTTATCCTGCCCTCAGCCATGCCCGGTCCCTCGAAATCAGATATTGGGCCTCATCAAGTCGTATCCTCCTAGAGTGCGTGGAGAATTTATGCACCGTAGACAAGCTTGAAAATGTCGTTGTAGACGAAGTAGGTGCCAGTGGCGGCATCATGCAGAAGCTGGAAAGCCTGAGTGTAGTTCATGGGGCGCTGCTCCTCGTCGACCTATTTTTCTTGGGTTAGATAAGAGTTGTAACGGTGGAACAGCCGCAGGGCATGTTATATACGTACAAGAAGCTGGCCAGTGACGAGGATGATAATGCCGTTATCGGTGGTGGGCTGGGCGTCGAGGGTGCTGACCTGGTGCTTGACCTTCTCGAAGGGGAGGGACTATTGTAAAAGGGTCAGTGAGTGGACTGCAGACGGCGCATTGAACTTGCGCATTCTCTTTGGGAGTACACACAGTGAGCTTCTCAACGATGGAGTTGACACCAAGGGAAGAAGCAGACTCGAAAGTCAGCATAGAGTGCTCCCGCTGTTATTGTTATTGTTGTCAGTGAATGCCCGGGTGACTATGTAGCAGTGGAGTTCTCACGTAGAGGCTGGCAAGTCCCTTGCGGTCCGAGTCGAACTGGTTGTAGTAAAATTCGATAAACTGCTCTGTTTGCGTTGAGGAGGCCGTCAGTGTGCTCTGTGTCGAAGAAATGCAGGCAAGGGCATTGCGATGCGGGCTTCTTCGGCTATCGAGTATGGGATCACTTACTTGCGACTCCCTCGAAGTCTGCGGAAAGGCATCAATTAGCTACTTATCTCCTTTCTTGGTCCGATGAAGTGCACCAAAAAAAGACGAAAACATCATGGAGATGCGGGGCAGCACACAGAGCGAGCGCGCGCGCAAGTCCAGCAGTCACAAGAGTGCCAAGGCCGATTGAGTGCATATGTGACTTACTGTTGGACGCCATTTTGTCTGATTTGGAAGGCGAAGGATGTGTTGAAGACGGGGAGGTTTCGGGTCGGAGGGAGGGGTTGGTTTGTTTACGGTAGATTTGAAGCGATCGAGACTTTTGTCGGAGGAGAGCTTTCGCCGGTCGCCAGGTTGAGCAACGAAGGAGGGGTGGTGGGCAAAGAGGGGGACTAACACAATCAAATGGCAGGGGCGCGGCGCACAGCACACACGCAATGGAAGGTGGGAGGCTAAGGTACCTTGGGCACCTGCTCACTGTGGTCAGGTACCTAATGTCACCGGGCTGTCGGGCAACTTCCAGGTTTTAGGCATAGGGCAGTTTTACTTGGTCTTTGGGTTTGGGTTCCAGTATTGATGGTGGGGTTCTGACATCTGCGACCTACTGGGCAACCGTTTCGACTGTCAGCATGCGATTGTGCAAGTGCTATATGGTAGATACTGGCATAAATGGCGGGGTGATTCTTGTTTCGAGGGATAGATGCAGCTAAACCGTTCTTGATGGGGAGCCGCCATCTGCCTAAGGCTCAACTCAACTGTTTCCATCATCTGAAGTAAGCGAGCCTGTTCCGCATGGGCCGTGCACCGCCGAGAACTTGACTACAAAAATCTTTTCTGTCTCTCTTCAGTCGCAGCTTTTTTTCCTCACTTCGATATCAAGGACGAACCAAACCGAGTATCGATCTTTTTTGAGAATCTCAATGGTCAACTGTATCACAGTGCTCAATTCGTCCATGGTATCTCCTGCGCATCCTGCCTTCAGCTGACACGAATGCTTTACCTCGGATTTTTACTCACTTCACTACATTCTGTTCACAGAATTCTTCCTGCTCGGTAAGCATTTGATCTCATATTTTCTTAACAAATTCGACCCCATTGTGGGTTGCTACGTTGATGATCAACTCTTCCATTAAGAACGGCCAACAGAATATACTATGTTGATTCAATTTATCAAGCTCAACAGTCTGAATGTAGCTTTGAAGCAAAATTTTTATTAAGCGTTTGTTAGCACGAGAGCACTAGCTAACCTGGATATCAATAGATCTCTCAACCTTGGCTTTGGTTAATGAACCTGCTATATCAAGAAGGACCGTTTTATGTACACCCATGTAGAAACAATAAACACGGACTATAAGAAATACTTTTCGTCTGTTTGTGCATAATGGCCCGCTATTTGGTGATATTTTTCCTTTATCGTCTTCTGAGTTGCTCGGCGAGCGACATGGAGTGCTGCCCCAGGGACGCGGAGGTGGTTCTGACGTCGGATCAACTGCTTGTTGGTCGCGAGCGCCTCAGTGACACATGTGCCGAAGCGTCAACCTCGAATAAAGCCAGGGCCCTAATTGCAGATGCTCTTCTCTTGTCTATTGCTTCGTGGTGACGTTGACAGACAGCCTTTGCAAAGAAGGCATTCTATATGAACTAGCTCCCGCCTTCCGTATATTGAAGGCACTTCTAGACGTGGACACAACACTGTTTCCTCAGTGAATATACCATAGATTACTCCCACAATCGTGACCATCACTGCCGCTGGAGAACAGTACCGTCAAGGTCGTGTTTAACCAACCCATATACTAAAATCGGAGGTAGTGAAGAGACCAAAATAGAACGTTCAATTCTTCAAGGTTGGCATGGGGTACTATAACATCCCAGAATAGATATCATCATACACGTTTAAGCAGATATAATGTTTTCGGTCCCCAGCACGTATCATAACTCGGTGATATCTCCATCAGCAAAACTTAATGACAAGAGTGGGATTCGAACCCACGCCAATTACTTGACTAGCACCTGAAGCTAGCGCCTTAGACCGCTCGGCCATCTTGCCGTTGTTGATGCAATATCCTTGAGTGAAGCATATCATGTACGGATTCAGTCTGCTGATGTGGATGTGTACCCGCGGTCTTGATCACAGAAGAGAACGAGAGTTTGGAAAGATTGCTGCGCACAAGGACCAGTACAAATAATCTACTTGTAGCTCCCTTATTAACCACATTCAACTTTCGAAAAGTCCGATCTGGTTGGTGATTTTTAATCTCTGAACTGCACCTCGGGGGTGTATCTCCAGTTTGAGATATAAGCAGGTGTATCTCCAATCCTCCCGTTGCTAGTCGAGTACACCCCGAGGAATACACCTGTTGAGCCATTAGCGAAAGCTTTGATCCAGAAAAAGAAAGCAGCATACCTGTGAAACCCCAACTAACGGCATCATTGGAGGCATAGAGAAGAGTCTTGGTCTGGAAAGCTGACCCGGCCGGCCCAGCAGAGAACGAGTAATGTGTCATGTTGGCAGCCCGAATCTCCAACCTGAGTGGTTTATCAAGCCAGTCCTCTGGTACGGGTGCCACAACATCAGCGGGAACAGCAACATATGACATAGCTCGGAACCGAAATTGAAGCTTGAGATCAGTCGGATTCCCCCCCGTCGTGAAATTGTGGCCAGGGAAGGCCTGCGTACTAGAGCTCGCGGGCAGCAAGACAACGCCGAGATCAAGGTGATGGTTCTGCGTAAGGAACACCGTAACGCCGGCCTCTTCCTCTTCTTCGGTTGGCTGAAAGTCAAGCTCGACGCTATAAGAGAAGAGCGTGTCTTGTTGTCTTCTTCCAATGAATGTCTGCCCATCGGGACCCGCGTAGTTCCCATTTAGAGCGGTGAGGTTGAGTTTGGATGGTGTCAGACGTAAGCTGTTGGGCTTCTCAGGCGGAGAGACTATGTATGAGCTTTCGATCGGGTACCGCCAATACGTAAAGTGAGCTGGAAGGGTCGAATTCGGAGGGAAGTCAAACGCGTCACCTTCAACTGCTCCCAGTGAGATCAATGGGCTATCTTGGTTAGCAGAAGTCTTCTTGAGAGGAAAATGATGTAATACGTACCCGGAGCCTTCAATATCCAAATTCTCAAGCGGCATCTCCCAGCCACTCATCTTCCCTTCGACGGGGGTAAAGTATGGCCATTCCCCCTCGTTCCACCTTACCGAAGTCATGACAGTCTCACGGCCCATTGGAAAGTTGAGCCATTCTGGCCCTGATCTCGTGGCCAAGGCAACACACCACCTACTTCTCATTAGCTCCTCAAAGTACAACGGTGGAGCTCCTTACCAATTCTCGGAGGCATCTTGAAATACATCTGCGTGTCCGACAGTTTGAACTGATCTCCGTTAACCTCGCCTGCAAAGCCAAATTGGAAAGAGAGCACTCTCTGCGCTTTGCTAACAATAATTGGTAGTATTGGCGTTGGTCAGAACAGGGTTCGATGGATTTGACTGGTACGGGCCACCAATACTCTTTGATCGGGCCATCGTGACCATATGGCCAAGCCCAGTGCCGCCTTTCAACTTGCCATTAGCTTTCGGGGCCCACAGGATGTTCATTCGGAATCACCTTCGGCAGCCAGAAGATAGTAGTAGCCATCTTTACGGTAGATGTGTGGTCCCTCGGGTGCCTATCTCCATGTCAGCCGTGCGGAAGTCTCCAGAGGACTTATCACAGACCATGCCGCCCGTGCCATTCCAGATAGTTTTCCATTCGCCGACTTTCCCGGTGTTTAGATCGGCCTCCGCCTGTTGAATCCACGGTCTTGTATCGTTTCAGCGTTTGTGCTTTTTTCTCCGAGGGTCGTTCTCATTTCCATGATACATACCCGATCTTCCAGGCGTGGGCACCATTGATGTATGTCTTGCCATCATCGTCCCAAAATGGCTCCGTATCGTATCCTTCAAACTCAAAATGGACCGCATCGGTCCAAGATGCTGGATCAAAAGGATCTTGCGCCTTGAAGATAATCTTGGACCCGTGAGCTGAGTTAGATGAGTCAAGGAGAAGAACGTGGATCAAATCATACGTTGTCCCATCTCGAAGCATCTGCCACGTCTCTATCATCGTCTACAAGAGTCGTAACAAGCCAAAACGTATCATCGTGATAGCGCAGTGTCGGTGCCCAAATGCCACTGGATTCTGTCAGCCGCAGCAAGCTTTCTTTGCCCCGAGAGACTTGCCTTGTGGATCGGTTTGTCTCAACAAGTCGGGGGAGCTGTTCTTTCCTGTTCAAGACGTGCCCTAGGCCGTGTTAATGAAGTAGTCACCCTCACAGGTCATTAGAACATACCGACTAGCTTCCAGTTCTGCAAGTCTCTACTAGCATGGAGTGGTATACCCGGGAATGCATTGAAACTAGAGGACGCGCAGAAGAAGGTATTATTCCACTCAGGGACAAATATACAGCTAGGATCTGGATGGAATCCTGGGATTATTGGGTTATAAAAGGTCGAGTTAGATCCCTCTGATATTGAAAGGCACATCAGCCACACGGCCAATGCTACAAGTGAAAACATAATGTCTACAATAATGCAAGTGACATGCCCTTCTCTCCAAGATATGACACTCAGTAATTATATTAGAGACTATATGGGCGACTTATAGGCGAACCGGAAGGTCATGGTAATCGCATCAAACATGCTCGGGATATCTGCAAACGAACAAGCCTAGCTCGAGTCCCCGCATCGTTGGTACAGGGTGACATCATCCGGGTCAATAGCAGGCATAGGATAAATAGTTATAAGCTCGAGCGTAGATTTGTCCAGCATTCACCCGGGGTCGTATAGTCCTCTCATTGACTCTGTTCTGCATGAGTTTGTGGATCTAGGAGGATCGTCTGGGGCATGAAGCATGATGGCGACCCCGGAAACACGCGACCGGGAGGAGAGGAGCAGGTGGAAGGAGGGGGCGGGGTGGGCTCGAGAATATTAGGCCAGTGATACGCTACTAGTATGCATGGCGAAGAAGGACGCAACGTGGACATCGAGATGCTGACCCCATGAGGAAGATGGGGTTTTCACGTGGGCCATCGCTACCTACAAGGGTATCTGCTCCTGAGCTGTTGTCTAGAGGCATCGCCTCCTTGCATCGCGATGAAAGCGAAATGAAGAGTCCTTGTTTCTGACCGTCGAATTGCATGCAGTCTATATTCTGTGTCCCGAGGCCCAGAAATGCAATGGCCATCGCATTAAGCCTATACAACAGGCACCATTGCCTGCAAAAAGAGTTGAAACCAGAGTTCGTGTAACGGCATGAGTTGTTTACTTCAGTAATGCATCTCCCTTAGCAACGCCGTGCCTCTTTCATCCACGGAGATCGGGGTGTGCCTCCTAAACGCCATCTACCTTATGCAGAGCAGCCGTATTGACCGTCTCGCTCGATCTGCACCGACATCTTTCTCTGGCCTGTTGCCTCCATCCTGGCGCGTTGCCACATCCGCCGCTCAACCCTGGAGGCCTACCGGTCCCATAAGTACGAATCGTTTTCCAAACCAAGTCCTAAAGCTCCGACTCTGCACCGTTCGTCTCCACAGCCATCGGGCTGCCATTCTGCGCCTGGCGTTGCGTTGCACGGAGGCGCGCATTGCCAGGAGCACGGCGACGGGGTGTAGGCCGGCCGTTGCCGTTCAGGTTCTCCTCGTCATCATCTGAGTCGGGGTTTTCATCCGCGTATAGACGCGCCTCGTCCAGTTCGGTCATGCTATCCGGCCTGTCCCTCAACCACTGCATCCGAGGGCCTGATTTTGCAATTTCGGAAACGCGGAAGCCGTAGATACGGGGCTCATATATACGTCCAGCGCCCAGGCCCGGTGCAATGTTCTTAGCGTACATGCCGTTGATCATCTCGAGCGAATCATCGTTAATGCGAGCGCCGCCACTGCTGAGAACCTCGGCCCCACGCTTAGTGAGGTCGTATTCCGGGAAAGTGAGGAGGAAGAGGGCGCCAAAGGTACGGCCAAAGAAGGCACCGTCGACGGTTTGGAAACGGCTGTTGGGAGGGACGTAGACGTCGAGGCAGGAGGGGCAAAACAGCTTCACGGTGTCTTCGCCGGGAATATCAGAGAGACCGACAGGGAGTGTTCTCGCTTGGTCGCAGTTGGTGCGGGGGCAGCAGCCGAAATGGCCCAACTCGTACTTCTCACTCATCTGTTGAATGCCCGCCCTCGAGCAGATGAATCGCTGATGGATCAAGCCGTAAAGCATCTCGGACGAAGACTCGATAACACTTAGGTCGCTAGCCATACGGCTATGTTGTCTCCGGTCGTGTCTGGGGCCGAGTCGGTCTTGATCTCCCGAGTCGTTCTCGTCTTCGTCTTCATCCTCCTCCTCCTCTTCGTCCTCGTCCTCTTCAGGCTCCACATCAAGGATCATCTATGCAGGTCAAGTCAGCATGGACGTCTATCGCGCAGCCTGGGGGCTGAAAAGGGCGCTTGAGCTCCCAATCGCCATAAGAAACAAAAGAAAAAAGGATATTTTAGCGAGAAAGAAACAGCCTGCGTACCTCGAGTGCCTCCTTGTACATCGCGACCTGGTTCTGCAGGCCAGTGAGGTTGAAGTCATCCTCGATGAACTCCTCAGAAACCTCGGCGAAGTATTCATGGCCGAGGAGAGAGCAAAAGGAAGATATCCAAGACTCCGGGGCCCCCGAAGAGGTGGACATGTCGTCGAGGTAATCCAAGGTGATGGTATTGACGGGGTGTCGTTTAAAAATGGGTTGGGTTGCGACGCGGGCAAGCACGCGCGATACAGTCGTCGGATGGAGGACAGCGACGGTCTCCGAAAAGCTGCTTTGGATATCGATAGTCTCCCAGCAGGGGCGCAAAGGTGGCGGGGTAGTTGGTGGGCGTGACGGGTCAAGTGCGGCGCATGTCAAGCGCGAAGGGCGACGTCGGCGATGGAGAAGTTGCAAGATCGAGGAATGGTTTCGCGAGCGGTCGGATGCCGTCTACTGAGCAAAGTTGAGTTGCGATACAGAGAAATATTTCTCCGTCCTTTTTTCTGGCGGCAGGGGAGAGAAGCGGTATTTGGAGCCTCTCAGCAAAAGCTGTAGTTGTGGTGGGTGGGCTGTGGACTGCGGTGCCTCACGAAGCCCAGCCCGCTGAGATTACGTCCAATCACTGTGCTGGTCTGTGCGCACTTCATCGGTCCTTCGGTGAGCGGGCCTCTAGTTGTTCCCTCCGCCGATCTTCTCGGTGAGGGTACTCCTTCTCGCTTCCACTGATTCATTGCTATTCACCGAGACGTGTGTGCCTGGGTACGTAGCCATGTCAATTCAAGTCGAATTGATTGCCCATCACTGCCCTTCTTAGCTTGCTGATTACTTCGTCTATGATACAGAACAATCCTTGTTCTCATTCATTTACTTAAGACTATGGTCCTTCTTTAGATGCTCTCAGACATGAGGCTTCTTGCCCGTGGCTGTTGCCATGCGCTCACCTTATCCAAGGCTCCCCAAATCCGACGTGGGTTTTCAACATTGAAATCGGTAGAAGCTACAGAATCTCCATTTGAGGTGGTCAACATCGAAGAGTTTCGAAAATCGTCATTTACACAAGGAAGGCCTCTCCTATTCGGGCAGTCCTCCAACCCTGCTCAGCAGAGTTCCTTCTCGGCATCTTCAAAATGGTTCGCCCAAATTCAAGATGCTAACCAGAAACCCATCACCAAATTCACTCCCTATATGAACCAATTCGCCCACCACATGTTCCCATACGAGTTCATGAGTCCTCAGATCGCCGAAGATTCTGGAGTTTTAGTGAACACAACAACACAGTTCCTTGCATGGCTCGCGTCTGATCCGGATCCCATGGGTGCAGTGCTAGCGGGCATCGTCCACGCAGCATCTCACCCAGATGCCTCGGAGCCAAAGTTCTCGTCATTCGTTGCTCCCCTGCAACTCCTTCTCAAGGCTGCGGAGTTCAACAGCCTGCACGAGAAGAAGATCAAGCAGCTTTACATAGCCCAGGCTCAACTCCCGGACCTACCTCTAGAACTCCAGGAAGACCTGCCCGTCCCACGCATTGTCTTGGAAGCCGGTAAAGGCGACGTATACAGTTCGAGCTTGTGGCTTGGGCTGGAGCCGACATACACCCCGCTACATCGCGATCCGAACCCTAATTTGTTCTGTCAACTTGTTGGCAGCAAAACAGTCCGCCTGCTACCGCCGTCATCTGGCGATCGGTTGTATCGTCAGATACAGGCTCAGCTTCAGCAGTCGGGTAGTAGTCGCATTAGATCGACGGAAATGATGGAGGGTCGCGAGAGGGTAGCAATGAATACAGCTGTCTGGGGATTGGAGAGCCACGCGGATATTACAGAGGCTCAATTGAGCCCTGGAAATGCTCTCTTCATTCCCAAAGGTTGGTGGCATAGTGTCAAGAGTGGACATCATGATGGGAGGTTGAATGCCTCCGTGAATTGGTGGTTCAGGTAATCAAAAGAATACTTAGAAGGGTATCCAAAATTTTAGCACATACTCGGCTTTTTAATGCCTCTGTAATTAATCTTTTAAGACTTTGTCTGCGTACACATGGTCTGACTTGGTGATACCTCACGCGTACTGGTGTACTTCCCCAACTTGTACTGCTCAACAAGTAATAATCTAAAGGCAGAAAAGATACCTCAAACTATTCCAACACTTAAACGTTACAGTTTGCTTCTACTCGATGTCTGAGAATTTTCACAAATGACAGGCAATTAGACAAAGGCGCAGGATTCTGGACCTCAAGTGCTGTACGGGGCGAGCAAGCATTGATGAGCGTTGGTCCGGCGAAGAACTGTCAGCAACTAGCCCCACATCAAAGCACAATAGCTCAGGGGTAGAGCGCTGGGCTCATAACCCAGAGGTCCCTGGATCGAAACCAGGTTGTGCTATTTCTTTTGCAATTTTTCCTGTTGAAGCACCCTTTTTGATCTTTTAGACCCTGATGGACCAGAGAATGATGTTTTGCATTCTTTTCTTTCAATCGGGGGTGCAGAAATGCCATAGTGGTCCCTACCTGTTATCGATGATCCTCCAGAATCAACGTCGTATCCCCTATCACATCCTCTGACTTACTTGCCTTCAACAGTTTCAAAAGTGACCACCAAAGGGAATGAGAACCCTCAAAAGCGGAAGATTGGTAGCTTAAAATTCGACGTCAGGTCTACGATGTACAAAACAGGGCAGGCCGTCCTTCATCGGCAAGGTAAGACTACTTTTGCTGACTCTCGTCGAGTCATCGACTCTCACGCAGTCAAAGAGACCAGCCACGGTCGCAATTACTTGCACGGCAATGATCTCAGCCATCTTCTTCCCCAAGCATGTTCTTGGCCCGCCGTTGAAGACTGGGAATTCGGAGGTGCTCTTGTTGATAACTTTACCGCCGACCAGCCATCGCTCAGGCCGGAACTGGTCCGCATCAGAGCCCCATGTGGTGCGCGAGCGGTTCATCGCCCAGGTGCACCAGACAACGACGGAGTTCTGGGGTAGAAAGGTGCCGTCCGGTAGCGTTGTCGCCTGAACAGCCTGTTTGATTTCGAAAGGGATCGGTGGGAAGATGCGCAGCGCTTCGTAAAAGACTGAGAAGACGTACGGCATCGTATTCGGGTTACCCTGTTCCGCAATGGCTTTCTCAAGGGTGTCCTCCTCACTCTGCTTTTTGATGCCGTCGACTTCCTCGCGGATCTTGGCTACGACCTCGGGGTGCTGCATAAGCAGGTAGAATGTCCACGTCAGAGCCTGCGCCGTGGTATCTTTGCCTGCCGAGAGGTAATTCAGCCCGGCATCGGCAACCAGCTGCTCGTCGCCAATGGAGTCTAGTAATGACTGAACTAGACTGCCGGATATGCCATCGAGTCTGTCGCTCCCCAGATCTTGTGAGACAACTGGTGCGGGTTTGAGAGACGCTTTTCTGTCCGTCATCGCACTGGAGACTATGCTCTGTCCAAAGGATTTCACGACAGAGATGGATTTTCTCAGACGTGCTCCGGCGAAGATCTCTGTGAGGAACCACATTGGATTCTGGAACCGCTCTGCAGTCGCACCGGATGCGTAGTCGAAGGCCAGGCCGAATGTGTCTTCTGCGTGCATTTCCATCTACGTCATGTATTAGATGGAGCAATGGGAAGATCAGAATGGACAGTAAGAAGCATGCCAACATACGTTGTAAGCCATCTTGCCCATGAGTTGGGTCGTGATTTCGTGAAAGACTGCCTGCAAGTCCACCACATCATTACCGGACTGGCTTCCAAGGTAGGCGACACTCTGAGATAGATACTGTGGCAATGCCACGTCTGTGAGAACTCTCAGGTTCGAGGTATTGAGGAAATTGAGGCCGGCCTTTCTCTGGACCTTCCATAACTCGCCATCAACATTGATGATGCCGTTACCTGTGGTCCGTAAGCGGAGTGATCATCAGTGCCGAGAGGCACTGAGGCTCACCAAATAAGTCCCTCGATCTCCCCTTGAAGAACTCTCCCTTAGCAAATATGCCCTCGTTCTTAAAGACGTATTCTAGGTTCTTGGGATCGCTGATGATGACCCCTGGAGGTAGACTGGGAACAGAGATTTGCAGGGTTTCATAGCCGTAAAGTTGTTCACACTTGGTGAACCAGTCGAATAGCTTCTGGCGGTCTCTGAGGAAGATGATGCCATTCCCGGCGAGCGGCAGTGTATTTGGAGGTCGTCTAGGCCAAAGTCAATATCCAAGCAAAAGGTGTATTCAGTAGGTAGTGCAATAGGCTTAATAAAAGTTGGTGAACTGACCGTAATGGGACGCCGTTCCTCCTCAACTTTGGCTGACCAAAGATGGTGTATATTAGGAGTGAGATCGCAACCACTACGAGGGCTGCTGGGGCATTGACCAGGGCCATCACGAGGCGGTGTCCTTGATCTCTCAGAATGGAGATGTGGGACGACTTTCCACTACAATATGTGCCGAAGACACCATGCACACTTCAAGCCCAATTCACTGTAATCGAACCTTCAAGAATTATCAGCCAGACTGTAGCTTCTAGCTTCTCGATTTTGACTAACCTCGACCTGAAAAGGAATGGTGGAAGGCAGGCGTTGAGAAGAGACGAGGAAGGATGATACCACGAAGTATATGATGACGAAGACGAGGGCCAACACAATTGTCCAATGCCCTCAACGTCTCAATAGGCGTCGACCAGTGAGAGGGGAGCAATTGGTAGCTTGCATCCCCGACGGGGGAACTCAGAGTTCCATTGCACCGCTCCCGAGTGAGTCCACATTGCACTAAACATCTCACCCCTGTCGAAACTTCAAGCCCTTGCTTGGCCCTTGTTGCCTTTAAGGATGAGGTAGCTCCCCGCCATCATGTTGACGTTCTTTTCCAAGAACTCTTCGCCCTACGCGCCATGACACCGTTAGGGTACTTACAACCAGACTTCAACGATGTGCCAAATCAATATAGTCTGTGATCACCTTGTTCTGTGGAACGACAGGCTGATCTCAGGCCTTACTTCCACCGTGGTGAACTGATGAGGTACCTAGTAGGCACGTTTCCAGCGGAGCTTGGGGGGATAAGACCCATGCCCGGGCTGGAGCTTTCCCTGTCTCGAGCTCAGCACTAGCGAATGCGATAGCTCCCGCACCCGCCACCCCGTGCCGGCTAACGGCAGGGCACAGGGGGACCCCAATTCTCCTACGAACTTCCATCTGTCTCAACAAGAAGCACCGTGTAATAAAGCCCTCGTGGCCGCCGGGTTGAACCTCCAGCCGACTTGCAAGGAGCTTTACATCGGACGCTTTGCATGTGATCTGGATGCCGAAAATCTTCTACCAGCACAATCAAGTACATTAACTGCTCAATCGGCCACCAGTGTTCAACAAACTCCTGCTACGACAGCTATTTGCATCTCGACGTCATCACGATGGCGCCTCTCGTCCCACGATTCCACCTCTTTGAGATTGACGACCAGACTTGGTATGTTGTGCCTCCAAAATCCTACCCTCACCTCTCACAATCCTCACTGTCTATTGTAGAAAGCTAACACATCCTCTCCCAACCCAGGTTCCCCTCCTTCCTCCGAGCTTACGTCCAAGAAGGCCTCCACGCAGCCTGGGTCTACCGCGTCCCCGTCTTACAAACCTCCTCCCCGGCCCGCGTCGCGGCCCAGATCCTCCAACACGTCCTCGGCCCCCGCCTCCCCTCCTACACCTTCATCGACTTCTGCGCCGGCTCCGGCGGTCCCACCCCGGCCATCGAGCGCTTCGTCAACCGCCACCTCACCGCCCAGAAGCAGCCCAACGTCGACTTCGTGCTGACGGACCTGCACCCCAACACCGAGTCCTGGGCCCGCGCCGCCGCGCGCAGCGAGCACATCGGCTACGAACCAAAGAGCGTCGACGCCGCGCACGCGCCGCGCGAGCTGGTCGACGGGTATACCTCCAAGGGCAAAAAGGTGTTTCGCCTGTTTAACCTGGCGTTCCACCACTTTGACGATCCGCTGGCCAAGGCGATTCTGAAGAACACACTCGAGACGTCGGATGGCTTCGCTATCATGGAGCTGCAGGGCCGCGACCTCTTGTCGTTCATCATGCCCGCGATCCTTGGTATCGGCTGCTTCATCTTCGCGCCGCTCTACGCCTGGAGGCTACGCAGCTTCTCCGTGCTCATTTTCACCTATCTCATCCCGATCATTCCGTTTGTGTTGGTGTTCGACGGGTACATTTCTGCGCTGAGGACGAGGACGCCGGACGAAGTGGAGGCGTTGATGAAGTCGTGTGGCGGCCGGACCGAAGGGTGGGAGTTCAAGAGCGGTAAGGAGATATATATGCCGCCCGTTGGTTCTGTGAGATGGATTGTGGCGGAGAAGATTTCTTCTAGAGATTGGTAGATTTGGGGGCTAGAGGAAAAGAGGAAGAATCTCGACTGAAAGAACATACAAAACTAAAAATAAACGAAGACAAGACCGATTTGCTGTCGGAATTGATCAACTACAAAGATTTTATGTGCTTACATGTCATCATTACTTGACAACGCGCGCACATTGACATTGAGAGATGAATGATTACAATTTACATCCTTGATGTAGTTGATATGTCACAGACTTCCCCCCCCAGTGCTAGTTGAGAACAAGTTGGCTAGTGACGAGTTGTAAAGAGGCATCGAAATTTGATCCAGTTGGCGTACTGGAGTCCACAAAGACATCAAAATGATGTTGAAAGTTACCAGTGGTGGGTCGGAACATTCACATTCAAAATTCGGAACGATGATTTTGCTTCATGTTTATTCTCATTCTCATTCTATGAAATGAAGCCCAGAACAGATATCACTCCGTTTTGACACCAAATCCCCAAAGCTTGCCGCGGTATCCAATCCACGCGACAATTATGTTCGTGTCGGAACTATGTCGACGACACATCCTGATTTCCCAAAATTGTACCCAAAAGATGATTAAAGAAAAGAGCCCTTCATAAATCCATAAATATGATCGCTAATCAACTCAGAGCATGCTTGCGCTTTAAACGACGGGACCGGCCTTGACGACCTCCTCGGTCGCTTCGCTGGCGTACTTCTTGAAGTTCTCGTTGAAGAGGGTGCCGAGCTTCTTGACCTCGGTGTTGAAGCTGTCGTTGCCGGCAGTCCAGGCGGCCTTGGGGTTGAGAAGCTCGTCGGGGACACCGGGGCAGGTCTTGGGGACCTGGAGGTTGAAGACGTCGTAGGTCTCGTACTCGACCTTGGCGAGCTCGCCAGAGTGGATGGCGTCGAGGATGGCGCGGGTGTACTTGAGGGGGCAGCGCTTGCCTCCCTGAAGGGCACCAGCACCGACCCAACCGGTGTTGAGGAGCCAGGCATTGGCGTTGTGGTGCTCGATCTTGTCGGCAAGCATCTTAGCGTAGCGCATGGGGTGCAGGGCCAGGAAGGGCTGAGCGAAGCAGGAGGAGAAAGTGGCCTGCGGCTCGGTGACACCGTCCTCAGTTCCGGCCATCTTGGAGGTATAACCAGAGATGAAGTGGAACATGGTCTGGGCGCGGTCAAGCTTCGAGATGGGAGGCAGAACACCGCGAGCGTCGCAAGTGAGGAGAATGATGTTGGTGGGGTGAGATTCTGACAAGCAGGGAATCTTGGCGTTGCTGATGTACTCGATGGGGTAGGCGCAGCGGGTGTTTTCTGTGAGGGTGCTGTCATCGTAGTCGACAGCACGGGTCTCGGGGTCGAAGACAACGTTCTCGAGGACGGAGCCGAAGCGGATGGCGCCGAAAATATCGGGCTCCTTCTCGGCGGACAGGCCGATGGTCTTGGCGTAGCAGCCGCCCTCAATGTTGAAGACACCGCGGTCACTCCAGCAGTGCTCATCATCACCGATCAGGGCGCGCTGAGGGTCGGCAGACAGAGTGGTCTTGCCGGTGCCGGACAGACCGAAGAAGAGGGTGACATCGCCGTTCTTGCCCTCGTTGGCAGAGGAGTGCAGAGTGAGGACATTGTGCTTGATAGGCATCTCGTAGAAGAGGACGGTGAAGACACCCTTCTTCATCTCACCAGCATACTCAGTACCGAGAATGACCATCTCCTTCTCGGCAAAGTTGATGGCGACTGAGGTGCCAGAGGTCATACCCTCGGTGTATCTGTTGGCAGGGAAAGAGCCGGCATTGTAGATGGTGTAGTCGGGGTGGAAGTGCTCGAGCTCCTCACGAGGAGGGCGAATGAGCATGTTTCTCATGAAGAGAGCATGGTAGGCGCGGGCGCAGATGACACGGACGCGGATACGGTACTTCTCATCCCAGCCGGCATAACCGTCGACGACGTAGATACGGTTTCTGGTGTTGAGGTAGTCGATGGCACGCTCGCGGTTGATCTTCCAGACCTAGAAATCTCACATGTCAGCGAATGCTCAAAGAGAGGTTGGCCCGGGCGCTGGATGTGGGTCCAGCGCCGGGAGAAGCAGGAACATGGAGGCCGTCGGTACGCGGGGTGGGTGTGGCAGGAGAGAATGGGTGACAGGAGTGGAGCCATGAGGAAAGGGTTTAGCGCGGCTTTGCATTGGAAAATGCGGGGCCGGCAACCAACTGCCCTTCTTTTCTCATGCGCTGCACCCAAAGCCCAAAGGGGAACGAGGAGGGGTGGAGCCATGAGGAAAGGGTTTAGCGCGGCTTTGCATTGGAAAATGCGGGGCCGGCAACCAACTGCCCTTCTTTTCTCATGCGCTGCACCCAAAGCCCAAAGGGGAACGAGGAGGGGTTGCAGCCTTTGATGACGACACTCCCAATCGCAAAACTGCACCCGAGGAACCTGGCGGGGAACACCGGGGGAAAACATTGGATGAAAGACCATCTCGATGAGTTCCCTCCGGCATGAACCGATGCGATGCGCCTGCATCAATTCCTCGGGTTTGTGCAGAGAGGACCAGCGGTAGTGGACTTTGTTGCTTGTTGCGCGCAGGTGTATACCGGTAGCAGTGCCGAGCTGAAACATGACGCATTCATTGACAGCAAAGAAGTCTTCGGCAGTGCCTGAGTTCGTTTCGCTGCTGACTCAGGGTAGGACTCAAGCCTACAGCAGAAAAGGGCCCAGGCACTTTCCAAAGTGACTTTTTTGCTGTCTCCGAAAGGTCGCGTGACAGACGGCTCTGTTTGGGTGCAAGCGCAGTTGCCATGGCTGAGTGTCTTGGGGGGAAATGCGAATGTCCAACCGATGACGAGCCACACAAACAAAGGACCAAGGGGAAGCGTGCCCACAGCACCATGACTCGATCTGGGGTGCGGTTTCTCTTACCTCGGGTGACATGGGCTTGTTAACGGGGCCCCACCTGGTGAACATTGTGTTAGCAAATAGTTACGCATTCAATGGTCAGCGCCAGCCGTTCTGAAGCTGTGCGTGTCGACTATTCTGGCTTCGGAGAGGAGATAGAAGCTTACCAGATGTCGTTCTTGGAGCTGTCCTCCTCGACAATTCGCTTGTCCAGAGGCGAACGGCCAGTCTTCTTTCCAGAGTAGGCAGTCAAGGCACCACTTGATGTGATGGCGGAACCGGTCTCGTAGACGAGAGCATCTTCGTAAAGGGCGGGGACGGAAGGGTTGGGGATAATGGCGACACGGTCGTAGTCGATGTGCGCGGTCTCGTGAAGCTCCTCCTCAAGCTCAGTGTGCTCCTGGTGAGGACTGCAAGTAATGGGTTAGCCAGCTGTTTCTTGTGTTTTTTCTCGTCCAGAGACTGGACTCGCTGAACCAAGAAACAGTAGGAAACTTACGCAACACCACCAGGGTGGAGAGGAGTCTTGTTGACGTTGCTAGCGATCACTAAGGGCGCCATGTTAGCTACAACTTGTCGATTGGCAAAATTGAATGATGGTGATGTTTTTTTGGGTGAGGTGACAAGTGGTATAAGAAGGAGACCAAGACTGAGTTTGCGTTGTTGTGGAAAAACTCGGGGAGGGAATGGTTGTATAAGAGGGTATATGACGATATAACGGAGATGGAGTGTAGTGTGGACGTACTCTTGCGTAAGTCTGCTTGGGTTCCTTCTGCGAGAATCTGAGACTTTGGGCCTTTAACTTTGGGATCAGTGTAGGGAGAAGCAGTTCTCTGGACGGGATCCTTCATGGTTATAAAGAATTGAGTCGTTGGACGGGTAGGTCTTTGAGATCGGGTGAAGATGGTTTGGGTCAAGGCTTGGAGGCTTGTGGTTCTCGTCCGCTTTCAGGGATCGCGAAAGGAATCGTATCCACACTTCTGGAATAAATTGGCCGGGGTGGACGGAGTAAGATGGGAGTGTGAGACTCGTGAGTACAAGCATAGACAAAGCTGCTTTGGGTGGCTTGGATCTGAAGCTGGACCGAGGATAGAGGGCCAGAATGGGGTCTTGGACTTATAAGAACGGGCGCGTCGTGTGGAGTCGCGGGGGCGAAGACGCCGATGTAACTGGACGAATTGCCGTTGCTGCGAGCTTCACGATATTATCTCGGGTTCGGCGGAGGGGCGTAGATCCCTGTGCGGGTTCGGGATAGAGGAGGAATAGGGATAGAATCGGGGAGAGTTGGGGAAGACTCCTCGGGAGAACGTCTTGTCTCGAGCCCTTTGTCACTTTGTATCTTTGCATGGTGCTTCCTAGGTTGGGAATGGAGGCGTGTAGTACGATACACTAGCAAGACTAGGTACGGGAGAAAATGTGTGGAGGAAAGAGGGGTGTCAGGGGTGTGAGAGCAGGGTGTGTGGGCAGTGCAAAGGTAGGAAAAAGACAAAATGAAGAAAAAGAGACATGCTGCAGCAGCAGCAGCAGGTTGAAGATGAAGAGTGCAAGGGCATATCGGATTGTCTCATCGTCCCAAGATAACGAGGGCCCGAACTTGCCCGCCATGTTTCCCTTCGGGCCATGTTATCGCGGGGCTAGGGGGGTGGAAGTGGTTGCGGCAAGGCAGAGTGAAGGAGCCAAATTTCACCATGTTCTCTTCGACAGCGTCTATCACAATGCACAATCCTGCAATCCACAAATCCCACCTTGATCTTGGGTTTGAATCTGGAGCCTTGGAAGTACCTTCTTCTGCCTTAACCAAGGCAAAGAGTACACCCCTCCAACCTCCCCCCCTGTTGGCGTATCCCCACAATCTGCGGGCTTCCTCCGTCTGTCTCCGTTGCGTCGGCCTGGTCCTCCCGAATCCTGGCTAACTTACCTCATCTTTGAAGCCGTCCACCTTCCCAGTACGTAAGTTGGGTATGCCAATTCACCATAGAGAGATGCAAAGGGGTCGTCTCTTGCATTTCTGCCCGTCTTTTACAGGTACCCCATACAAGTGACGCTTCGTCATTGGCTGCCGGTTCTTCTGTGATGTGGTTTGGCAAAAGGTACATGGAGGTACAACAGTCAACAGACGAAAGAGTTCGGGCGGCCTCCGGGACAGACACGCTCATCGCTCCGCTACCTTGCCCTCAAATGTTGATTTCCCAGGAAACGGCAGCCCGAAGAACAACTCCATTGGTGCTTAGGCTAGCTACATCATCGAACAGGAAATAGGATACTACCTTGATATGATTGGGCGCAAAAGAGATATCAGAACGTGGAGGGGGATCCCGTTACACTGTCGGCGCCAAAAAGAAGGCCGGACCATGAAGATCAATTATCCCACCCGCCGCTCACCCGGATAATTATTCAAATCTTGCTAGGGGACCCGGGGAAACCCTCCCCTTGCCGCACCTTAGGTCATCAAGCCGGACAAAGCCGCGTGCACGCCGAAACTATGTCTGCGAATTGCGCAAGGAAGCCCCAAAACTTCGGCTTCTGACTCGGCATCGAGTCAGCCTCGAATTAACGCTTCTACCTGCTCGGGTAGAAAGCGACCTCGAATTAATGTGCCAATAGAGCAGAGACGGGGTTTCCTGAATCAAAAAAGCATACGAATCAAGTCACCCGTTCCCTGCCGTACCTGGCCCGTCCGTCCAGATCGGTACGTACACCGACGTCTTCCGTCTCAGGCCTGGAGACTGAGCAGTTGCACTTGCACATGCTGTACCATCTCCCATCTGTATGTACGTAGTACCAATAGACTCACACCTGCGTTCGATTACCGCGGTGCCTTGCCGCATCTACGCCCTACTGTCTAAGTTGTGCACCCCCGCTCCCCTCTTCGTAGGTACCCTCCACTGTCCAGCCCAGCCCGCCTTCACCCCGTCTCCCGCTCAGCCCAGCGAGCCCAGCAACAGGGGGAAAGAAAGCACACGCAGCCAAGACTTCAAGACAGGTCGGTTTAACATGGCATTGGGAACATTTAGGCCAGTTCTCTTTTTTTGGTCTGATCTTTTTAGCTGCCTACTGCGGCGGCCCCTATCAGCATGTTAACCTGCGGGCTGAAGTCCTGGGAAATCTCAATGGAACTTGGCAAGTTGCGGCCCCGAATCTTTCCACAAATCTGAGAAGGAGCTACCTTACACAGCGTTCAGCGCTTACACGGAAAGTCTATACGTATTGAATACATCTGGTTTCTACACTAATGCTCTCTTCGTCCCTCTCTCCCCGTAACATGTTTCGTCCCCGCTTTGGGGCAGTCCCAGAGTCTTTGAACCCTCCACGGCACTTCCGTTCTCACTTTTTTCCTCGTCTGCCATTTCTGATACTCACCGTCAGTTTTGAAATTGCGTTCTGTCAAGTTTCCAGCTGGTTGCTACTCGGCACCAAGCTGCCGTCAGCTGTCTCTTTTTCTATGCAAAGAAAGCTGAAACAGCATTCACGATAATAATTAGGAACCTGAGCCACTTCCCAAGTTCCGATATCAAAGAAGTTGGGACCAGTGTGTGCGCGTGCGCGCGCGTGTCTCTTGTTAAGCCCAACCCCGCCAACGCATCGCGGCAATGCAATGCGAGCAACGGAACACCTACCGGTAAAGTACCATGGCCCATCTAGCACACCCCTCCCTGCTTGGTCTTCCGTAGGTAGTCTCTCGATCGGGCTTTCACGGGAACGATTTATGTGTACACACTGTGGCTATGTGCAAGGAAGAAACATTAGAAACATAGCTCTGAATCAGCCATGTGTCCGTATGCACAAATCCTCCTAATGCCCCCTGGTATTGAGCGGGATGAGCCCCGAAATCTGACCAAAAGATGACGTTCAAGTTTGTTGCTACCTCACATCGAGAGCCGCCTGGCCCCGCTTCGGAACCCCCCCCTCTAAATTGCCCCTCCACATAGCCGAGCATACCTTGAACTCCAGTCTCCAGGCCCCACCTTCACTTGTCTATCCGTACGGCTACAGGTACCTGAGTACATGCGCTAGCGCAGACTACCCCGCGCCCCACGGGTCTCTGCCAATGAGAGGTGGTCTGGAAACACAAAGGCTGACCTTCAGCTTCTCATTCCGACTTCTCCCGACTCTTGCTTCGGAATTCCCAGCTTTTTGCTCTCTTTTCACCAGGTTTTGATTGTATCATATTGACCCGAATTTTGAACTAAACGGGCACGATAGATAGGGAAAAGGAAGATATTGGTGTGCGACTGTCACATAATACGTATTCCGGTTGCCTTTGGTTCCTCAAGCGTCTAGGGCTATAATACAACTCGATGCAGGGGGGTGGACAATCAAATACGGCTCCTACTGGGGCTGAATATTGATCCCATGGCCGTTCCGTCATATTTTGTGTAGATTCTTTTCGTGTGCGGCGTGCCTGAGCAAACGAATAGTACCTAACCTAAGCCTACTGAGGGAGGGGTGTGTTTTTTTTACACGAGGATAGTCAACACTTTCACTATGTCCACTCGCTTTGACGGTTGTTACTATTACGTACCTAGCTTCATTCCCCAGAGCCATGTGACGGACAGAAAAAGGAGGTCACCGACTCACCTTGCCCAGGCCAAGCCTTTCCAGCCCGTAAAAAATTCCCAAGCATGGGGTAAGTGGTCACTCGGAACTTGCACGTTTTTGAAAAAAAATTCTCTGGGGTAATGAGGAGGAGGGCGGAGGAACGACACCAAAAAAAGAAGAATTGAGATTGCAGCATCTCCAGACTCCAGACTTTCTTCCCCCCGTGGACTGGCCTGGCCAACCTTGGAAGAGGCTCCCTCCATCCCACCTCTATGTACGCACCAACCCCACGATGCTGAGCTCCAGCCATCCAGCCTTCCGACGTGACTTGACGGCTCGGGAAAAACGCATTACACACCGTGACAACACTGCCCATCGCAGTCAGTTGGAACTGGCAAGCCTCCGTTAGGCCGGCATCACCCCCTTCGGCTCCGCTGCTGCTCCACAGTAGATTGCCGTCCGTCATATCTCGGCTCCACAACGCCAACTTGTTCTTTTTTCTGCCCAAACACGGTGAACACCCATGTTGATTGTCAAGTTTCCAAAGCCGGGGAGACTCGAAGAGGGCTTCTGGGCCCAAAGATCCTCCCCTCCAAGCACGAGAATAACTCGGAGCTGCCGATGACCGCGGGGGCGGGGTGGGCCATATCTTATCACCGCCCCAATGCCCCCCGAAAATGCCCTTATCATCGGAATCAATCGGAAGTGCAAAGAGTTCCATGCAGTCACCTCGGATTTCGTCAATCCTGATTCAAACGCACATAATCGCCCCTTCCGTACACATCACACACATACACAGGGTCAAAACGTGAAGCCATCGTCATGCGCTTGTTTGACAAGGTTTGAGATTGATTTTGAGTTTTAGAACCGTTCTTTCCGTCCCTACCCTTCCTAAATCCTCTTTGTTCCGAGAATGCCACGTACGGGGTCTATCATGCCGAGCCTTTCGCGGCCCGGTTCGTGTAAACGGCATTGGCCGCCCCCTTTTCCCCATGACGTCGCTATATTCTCTTTTACACATTTCCGCGCTGCTTTCTATGCACATTGGCCATGGCCCGGAACAGGTTCATCATGTTCCTGCGAACGTTCCTTACGCCTGCCAAATCCAAGGAGCGCTCGGCTCTCTTCCTCCGCCTGAAGTCAGCCGTGGGTTTCGTGTCATCTGGTATCAACTTAAGATGTCTCATCCGTAATCAGCTTCGTAATCTTGCCAATGGCAATGGTTTGTCCCTATTTCCCCATGTGTTAGTCGTCAGGTGAAAAAAATCTGGAAATTGAGGCGCAACAAACCTGATCTCTGAGGGTGAAGCGACCCATTTGCGGGTAGTCCTCGAACTTCTCAATGCACACGGACCCGGCACCGCCAATGACTTGCAGACGAGCAATGATGCTGTCGCCCTTCTTCGCGTGCGAAGGAGGCAGCTTGCTCTTGCGGCCGGTGCCCTTCTGGAGCTTGTGCAGCAGCGCGGCAAAGGTCACCTCTTCAATGGCGGCGTGGACGTGCAGCACACAGTTGAAGCCTGCTGACAAAATGCTCTTGAGCTCCAGAATGCGGATCTGGGCCTCAAAAGTCTGGACGTTGTGCACCAAGCGCTTGGGCGAGCACAGGACGAATCCAGGCATGATGTCTTCCTCTTCAATGCCCCTGAGGCGGATGCGGACCTGGTCACCGCACTGGGCAACCTGCACTTCCTCCTCAGTCTCGCCGTACACGGCAGACACATCAATGTTTTGCTTGTTGGGCATCATGACGAGCGACATGCCCTTCTTGATGACACCGGCCTCGATCTTACCCTCGATCATGGTTCCGAGATCGCGGTACTTGCCGGCAACGGCCATCATGAAGGGGGCGTTGACCTTGCGCTCAAGAGCCTTCATACCGTCGAGGTACTCGAGCAATGAAGGGCCCTCGTACCAGTCGGCGATACCCTTGGCAATTCTCTCCTTGATGTTGATCGATTGCTGGGCAGCAACAGGAAT